CCTAGCTCTGCCTCCTGAGTGCTGGGATTAAAGGTGTGAGCCACCACTGCCCAGCAAAACTACACTTCTATAAAGTATCAATAAATACTCTCAAAAGAAAGGGTTTTGTTTTGTTTTGTTTTTTCAACTAAAGATACTAGCACAACCAGGTAGCTACAAGCAAAAACATACAGACCCTCATCTCACACTGTATACAAATAAAAAACAAAAACAACCCAAGGGTGGGGATGTAGCTCAGTTGACTGAGTGCTTGCATGGCATGCATAAAGCCCTGGGTTCCATCCCCAGCACCACTTCAGCCAGAAACGGTAGCACACAGCTGTAACCTCAGCATCTTGAAGGTAAAGACAGGGTCTCACTATGGAGCCTAAGCCCATCTGCAACTTGCGACAATCCTCTTGTCTCAACCAAGTCCAAGTCCTGGGATTACAGGTGCTGGCCATCACAGCAGACCTACTGAGCCCTTTTTACATGTAAGCCCCTTCAGAGGCACCACGTGCAGCCTCCCATCTTCTCTAATTCCTCAGACTGACATTTCCCATGTTCATTGATCACTTACTCCAGCCAACACATCCCTGACTCTGAATCTTCCTTCCTCCCCTAACTTAACTCATGGAGTCTCTCTAGCTCGAGTACAAATACCATCATTTATACGCTACCAGCTGGGAGGGGTCTTGGACCTTACTGAACCTCTCTGGAACTCCCTTTCATCCCCTGTAACTGGGAGGTGAGACTCCTGGGGTGCTGAGCAAATGATCCAAGATGGGCAGACTATCTGGTGTGGTTGTCAACCTACACAATCAGGCAAGAAAAATAAATAAATGAAGACACCAAGCTTTCTGTAGCCACAAGCAAACCGCACACAGAAAATGCGAAGACACAAAAATCTACAGAAGCAAGCTCAGCAGTCAAAGGCAGGGGACTGAGATAAACCATCTTCTTGGCAGCCACCCCTCACGCCTTCCTCGACAAAGCCCAGGAACTAGGAGGTCATGCTCCCGGAAGTCCGGCCGCGGAGGGAAGAAAGTCCCCTAAAGGGAGCCCGCGAGGATGCCGGCGCCCTCACCTTATGGTCCAGCTCCAGGCGGTAGGGTACCGGCTGGATTCTGCGTCGGGGCCGCAGGCCGGCGCGGGGTTCGGGCCCCGAGGCCGGCACCACGAAGCTGGGCACGCCGAGAGCCCCCGAGAAGCTGAAGCCCCATACGAAGACGCGGTCGGCGCGGGCTGCGCGCTCGCCCACGTACTGGAACACGGGAGCGTCGACTTCGGCCTCGGCCGCCTCTCGCCGGCTCCGTGAGCGCCCGGCCGGTCTCCAGTGCTCGCGGGCCGGTGCGGGCCACCTCAGCCGCCGCCCCAGAAGAGTCCCCGCCGCCGCCAGCATTCTCCGCTTCACGCCTTAGCCGCTTATGGGCGCTGCCATCTTGCGTCACCTTTGACCCCTGGCCTGGCGGAAGTAGATGCGGCCATGCTTACTACTGGCTGAAGGCGAAGTGCTTAGGGAAATGCAGCCATATTTACTATTGGCAGGTGGTAAAGACTCTGAGGAGGTCCAACCAGGACTACTCCTAGATGAAAACAAAGAGTGTGAGAGAAGTCTATGGCCTTACCATCGTTTTCCATGAGCAGGGGACTTAAATGAGTGTCCCAGTGTGAAGTGTTGCCCTATGCTTCTTCCTGACACTTTTCAGATTCTTTTTTGGTGTGATTTCTGTGGTGCTAGGAATTGAACCCAGGACCTCACACATACTTAGGGTATAGGCTAACACCGAACCACTCTCCCAGCCCCAGGAATTGTTTTTATAAATACTGAAAGGAGATAGAGGAAGTGTTCTAGATGCTATCTCATGGGAGCAAAAATGGGGAACAGTAGCTGGGTATAGAGGCTCATCATACCTGTCACCCCAATTCTAAGACTGAGGCAGAAATGTTGCTGCAAATTGGAAGCCAGCCTGGAACAGAAGGAAGCTATTAGTATGGTTTTTGTTGGCTTGCTTGAGACAGGGTCTCATTATTTAGCCATCATTAGCCTGGAACTTGCAGTGTAGACCAGGTTAGCCTCAAATTCAGAGGTCCAACTGCCTCTGCCTCCGAGGGGTGAAATTAAAAGTGTGTGTCACCACACCCAGCACTGGTTAATTGATGTATTTTATTTTGGCGACTTAATTTCATGTACATGGTTGTTTTGCCTGCATGTATGTCTGTGCACCGTGTTTATGGTATCTGTGGAGGCCCTGGAAGAGAATATTAGATCCTCTGGAACTGGAGTTGCAGCTGATAGCCCCCATGTGGATGTTAGAAATAGAACCCTGGTCTTCTGGAAGAGCAAACAGTGTTCTTAACTGATGAGACCTCTCTCCAACTCCCTAATTGATTTTTTTTTTTTTTTTTTTTGGACAGGGTTTCTCTGTGTAGCTTTGCGCCTTTCCTGGAACTCACTCGGTAGCCCAGGCTGGCCATGAAGTCACAGAGATCCACCTGCCTCTGCCTCCCAAGTACTGGGATTAAAGGCATGCGCCGGCGCCGCCACCGCCGCCGCCGCCGCCGCCACCACCACCACCACCACCACCGCCTGGCATCAACATACCCAGTTTATGCAGCCCTGGAATAGAACCCAGAGCATCCTGCATGCTAGACAAGCACTCTGTCAACTGAGCTATATCTGAAACCCCATAATTCATCTTAAGAAAACTTAAGAATCAACTCGATGGGCGGTGGTGGCACATGTCTTTAATCTCAGCACTTAGGAGGCAGAGGCAGGTGGATCTCTGTGAGTTCAAGGCCAGCCTGGTCTACAGAGCGAGATCCAGGACAGGCACCAAAAAACTACACAGAGAAACTCTGTCTCGAACCAAAAGAATCAACAGCTCTTACCCATGTGTTGTGGTGAACACCCTCCATGCCTCTCAGGAGGATCAGGATTTCTGCCTCAGCCTAGGCTATCTAGAACTCTATCTCACAAAAGAAAAATTCAATAGCCCTAGATGGATCCTCAACTTTCTAAACCATTTTACATTTAGGAGACAGTCAAAGACAACAGGGCATGGTGATACACATCTTTAATCTCACCACTCCAGAGGCAGAGGCAGGTGGATCTCTGTGAGTTTGGGGCCAGCCTGGTTTACAGAGCAAGTTCCAGGGCAGCCAGGTTGACATAGTGAGACCCTGCCTCAAAGAAAAAAGTCGCTAAAAGAAGTCTTCCTTGGTGTAAAACTGGGAACAAGAAGCTGGACATGGTGGCGCACACCTTCGATCCCAGCACTCAGGAGGCAGAGTCAAGCGAATCTCTGTGAGTTCGAGGCCAGCCTGGTCTACAGAGAGACTTCCAGGACAGCCAGAGCTACACAGAGAAACCCTGCCTCGAAAAAAAAAAGACCAAAGCAAGAAAAAAAAATTGAAAACGAGAGGACGGTTACAATGTGAATTATGGCCACCAGGTGGCAGTGCTTGCCCATCAATTTTGTTCCCATTTGTGAAGCCGACCACGACAGGCAGCTTCAGAGATTTTAGTTACAGGAAAAGTAGCACAGTGGTAGGGTGCTTGCCTAGCATTTGTGTCATTTTTTGAAACAGAGTCTCATGTACCCCAGGCTGACCTTGAATTTGCTATGTTGCTTCAATTCCTGATCCTCCTGCCTCCACCTCCAGGGTGCCAGGAGTACAGGCAAGCACTCCCAAGCCCAGCCTCAATTTACAAAGTAATAAAATACATTTCATGTATGCATTTGTGTAGAGGGGGATGCATGCACGCCACAGCATAGGTGTGGAAATTAGAAAACATCTTTTAGGAGTTGCCTCTCTCCCTCCCTGTAGGTTCTAAGGATGGGTTCCAGAATCTCATACTCCAAAGACAAGTGCCTTTCCCTCTGAGTCATCACATCACCCTGCGATTAAAAACTGTTCATGTGCAGCCGGGCAGTTGTGGCGCACGCCTTTAATCCCAGCACTCGGGAGGCAGAGCCAGGCGGATCTCTGTGAGTTCGAGGCCAGCCTGGGCTACCAAGTGAGTCCCAGGAAAGGCGCAAAGCTACACAGAGAAACCCTGTCTCGAAAAACCAAAAACAAAAAAACAAAAAAAACAAACAAAAACAAAAACAAAACAAAAAACAACAACAAAAAAAAAACAAAAACAAAAACAAAACTGGGAGTGCTGGGATTAAAGGCGTGGGCCACCACCGTCCGGCAAGATTTTACTGTTTAAGTGCGTGTGGGTGCCTGCAGAGGCCAGAGGCTTCTGCCCCTTTGGAGCTGGAATTATAGCCACTTGTGACCTGCTTAACACGGATGTTGGGAATCCAACTCTGGTCTTCTGAAATCACCCTACCAGTTCCTAACAGCTGAGCCATCTCTCCAGCCCCTTTTAAAGCAAAGAAACCGAAACCTTCATAAAATGGGGCCAGAGAGATGGCTCAGTGGTTAAGAACACTTGCTGCTTTTGCAGGGGACCCAAGATCAGTTTCCAGCATTGACGGGGCGTAACAAGATCAGTTTCCAGCACTGACGGGGCGTAACACAACCATCTTGTAACTCCGGGTCCAGGGGGACCCCAGTAACATCTCCTGGCCTTCCCGTGATGCACACCCACATACTGTCAAAATACTCGAATGCAGACGGGGCCTCAGGAAGAGCTCCCTAGGCATGAACATACGACACTAGGCACACAATTTTTTTTTTTTTTAAAGGAAATGCAACGTCCGAGGCTCCACAAGCACGAGAGCGCACTCAAAAGCCCAAACTGAAAAATGCATGTGTATCAAGAAAGGCCATGCACATTAGGGGGCGGCGCGGGGACACGTGCGCGCCACGCACTCCAGCGGGCGGGCGGCCTCGCGGAAGCCGCGCTGCAGCGCACCGGAAGTGGCCGTCGGCCCTAGGGGTGCTTCGGCCACTCGCGGGAAGCCGACCTTCCGGAAAGCACACATAAGGGCAGAAAAAAAAAAAGGTGTGGGCGGAGTACAAAAAAAAAACTAATTAAAAAAAAAAAGGGGAGGCTGGTGGAGAGGAGGCACCCTCCGCCCACCCTCCCTCCCTCCCTCGCTCCGCGCGCTCCCGCCGCCTGTCCAGGGCCGCTGCGCACGCGCAGCCCAGGCTTCAGACCCCCGGCGCGGCCCGCACGGCAGGGCCCTCAGGTGCGTATGCCGCCGCCGCCGCTCCCCTCGCAACTTCCGCTTCCGGAAGTTCCCCCCCCCTCCCCGGGGGGAAGAGACATCTCTCGGGGCGCGTGGCGGAACACTCAGGCGCCCGGCGACCGGCTCCGAACCCCATTTTCCGCACCGCCGCGAGCGGGCCCGGCCGAGTGGGGGTGGGGGGGGCGGGGAAGACGCGCCGCCCTGCGACCGGCGCACGCAAGGCGCCGCCCCGAGCATCTCTGTGTTGATTGGCTGTGACGGGAGCGCGGAGGCGGGAAAAGAACGATGCCCCGGTGCGCACGGAGGTCACGCGGTACCTGACGTGCCGGCGCTGTGTGTGGAAGCACTTGATTGGCTGAGGGAAGAGGCGGGGCCGTCGCGGTTGCCTAGGAACGGTGCTCTGGCTCCGCCCTTGATGTCACGCTTTGGCCTGCTGGCGCCTGCGTTTGGGGGGCGTGTCTGGGCTCTTGGCAGCCCGGGACCTGTGCGCACTAGGAAAGTGGAGGAAAGGACCCGGGCTCCAGAGTGTGGCTTGTGTCCGGTCTGGTTGAGAGTACAAGATGGCCTGTGACCATAACACCTAGTACAACGACCCCAAAAGAAAATTTTAAGTGAAATTTCCTTTAATAATGTATTTAACCTGTTGTACCCAAAACATTATTCTAGCATGTACTCAGCATAAAGAATCAGAAATGAGCCAGCAGTGGTGGTACATGGCTTCAGGTGGACTGAGTTCAAGGACAGCCTGGTCTATATAGCAAGTTCCAGGTCTGCTGGGGCCACACGGTGAGACCTTGTCTCTAAATTATAACCGCTTTATTGAGATACAGGAAAATCCACCCTTTAAAATATAAATAACGCAAGTCAGAAAAAGAACAGCCCTCCAAAGTAAAATAAAAAATAAATAAAATGAAAAACAATTCCAGTATAGTGTGGTATAAGTGTCTGTCAGCCCAGCACTGGAGATGCTAAGGCAGGAGGATTTCAGAGAGTTACAGGATAAAAGTACTTAGCCGACTACTCCCCGTGTTTGGTTTGGTTTGGTTTTGGTGCTTGTCCTGGATCTTGCTCTGTAGACCAGGCTGGCCTCGAGCTCACAGAGATCCTCCTGGCTCTGCCTCCCGGGTGCTGGGATTAAAGGTGTGCACCACCTGAGCCGGGCGGTGGTGGCGCACGCCTTTAATCCCAGCACTCGGGAGGCAGAGCCAGGCGGATCTCTGTGAGTTCGAGGCCAGCCTGGGCTACCAAGTGAGTTCCAGGAAAGGCGCAAAGCTACACATAGAAACCCTGTCTCGAAAAACCAAAAAAAAAAAAAAAAAAAAAAAGGTGTGCACCACCACTGCCCCAATACTTCTTTAAAAAAAAATAATAAGTGGAACAGAGGAGGCTAAAGAGATGACTCAGGAGTTAAGAATTAGTAGTGCTGTTGCAGAGGACCAAGGTTCAATTCCTAGCACCCATTTGGCAACTCACAACCCCTACCGCATGTAAGCCCATGAGGGGCTGGAGAGATGGCTCAGAGTTCAATTCCCAGCAACCACATGGTGGCTCACAACCATCTCCAGTGAGATCTGATACCCTCTTCTGGCTTGCAGGCATACATGCAGGCAGAACACTGTATACATAATAAATTAACTAATTAATTAATTTAAAAAAAAAGAATTTGACCCCACAAGTTCTAGTGGGCTGACTATACAAGCATCTTTAGTATGTTCTGGAACTCTGCTTATCAGAGTCCTGTGTTCTCCTTTGATCCTTGTAGCTGTTTTCAAACGTGGTCATTTCTCACTCTAAGCTTTATACAGTTAACGTTTTCTACGAACCTAATAAATAAGACCTATTCGTTTATAAAAATAAATGGAGGTGCCGGAGAGATGGCTCAGCAGTTAAGAGTGCTTGTTGCCCTGCAGAGGACCAAAGTATACTTCCGAGAGAACCCATAGCAGGGAGCACACAACCCTCCGAAACTCCAGATCCAAGGATCTAAAGCTCTCTGGCCCACACTGGCACCTGATCTCCCCTCCCGCCCCCCGCCACCACGAATATGCACATATAACTAAACAATCTTTTAAAGGTAGGAGAATAAATTAAGCATGTTTTGTCTGCTGTGGATGGTACCACTGGGTTTATTTTTGTACATGGGAATGGGTATTTATTTTTGGATTCTTGTGGGTGTTTACTAAAGAATAGAATTTCTGGGTCAAGCTTTGTGGGTGTTTTGTTTTATTTGTGTTTGTTTATACTTGGGACTGAGCCCAGAACCACTGAGCTACAGCCCCAGACTTACGTTTTGTTCCTTAGGTTTATTTATTTTGATTTTATTTTTTTTTTTTTGAGACAGGGTTTCTCTGTGTAACAGCCCTGGCTGTCCTAGAACTCTCCTTGTAGATCAAGGTGACCTCAGACTCAACAGAAATCCCCCTGCCTCTGCCTCCCAAGTGCTGGGATTAAAGGCGTGTGTCATCATGACAAGCTATGATTTTTTTTTAAAGAATTATTTATTTATTATGTATACAGAAGAGGGTAACAGAGCTCATTACAGATGGTTGTGAGCCACCATGTGAGTGCTGGAAATTGAACTCATGACCTCTGGATGAGTAGTCAGTACTCTTAACCTCTGAGCCATCTTTCCAGCCCGATTTTTTTTTTTTTTGTTTTTTTTTTTACTTCATGAGTTCTGCCTGTGTGTGTCTTCCTGCACATGCATGCAGTACCGGAAGGGGCCAGGAGAGGGCAGCAAATCTCCTGGCACTGGATCCAGATGGTTGTGAGCTGCCTTGTGGGTGCTGGGAACTCAAAACTGGGTGAACTGAAACTTGTAAGAGGAGCAAGTGCTCATAACCACTGAACCATGGCTCCAGCCCCCAACTTATTGAATTGTATGTTGAGACAAGATGTCCCTAAGATGCTCAGCCTATCCTTGAAGCTATAACCCCGCTATCTCAGCCTATACCGTTGCTGGGAGTCCAGGGCTAGACCACCATGCTTAAATTATTTATTCTCAAGATAGTCTTGATATGTAGCCCAGGCTGGCCTCCATAGCCTTCTCCCTTAACCCCCCAAGTGTTAGGATTATAGATGGTTGGCCATCATGTCCAGCTTTCCAAAAAAACAAAAAACAAAAAACCAGGCAAGGTTCTGCAGAGGTGGTACAGTGGGGTCAAGGTGATTGCTGCTGAGCCTAATGACCCAGCATCGGTGCCCAGGTGTGAAGAGATCTGACTCCCTCCATCTTGCCGAATCTCTCCTGCCTCAGCCTGCAGTGCTCAGATGACACACATTTGCCATCACACCCAGCCTTAGCTGTGGGGTTGGTAGAGGTGAAGGGCTGAAGGGCTTTGTTCAAGCTCTAAGACTTTTATCTAGTGGTCATAAAGATACAAGGCCAGCTACGGAGGTGACAGCGAGTGTCTATTAAAAGGCATGAAGATAGCCCCAAAGAATTTGGCTTCTAGATCTACCACCTCATCTCGACATAATCAGAGACCATGAAAGAACCAGCCAGCTTCTGTCTGTACACGGAGCGTCTCAGGCCAGCTGCAATTCACAAGGATTTTTTTTTCCTTCTTGTTCTTCACAAACAACCCTGCCATTGCAAGAAGGCATCCAGAGGCAGGCATGCACTAAGCTGAAGGGTGGAAATGTGTTCCAATAAAACTTTATTTTAGGCCGGGCGGTGGTGGTGCACGCCTTTAATCCCAGCACTCGGGAGGCAGAGGCAGGCGGATCTCTGTGAGTTCAAGGCCAGCCTGGTCTACAAAGTGAGTTCCAGGAAAGGCACAAAACTACAGAGAAACCCTGTCTCGAAAAACCAAAAAAAAAAAAAAAAAACAAAAAAAACAAAAAAAAAAAACTTTATTTTAACTTCTTTTTTTTAAACAGAGTTCAGGCTAGCCTTGAACTCTGTGTAGTCCACTCTAACCTTGGCTCCTGATCTGTCTGACTGCACCTCCTGAGTGCTGGGATTCTGAAAGTGACCCACGCGTTCTTTTCCATTCTGAGGTTAGAAACCCAGACATCATGTATCCTAGCCAAAAGCACTCTGCCAGTGGAGCCACAGCCCAGCCCTATAATCATCAGTTAAGGAAAAGTTAATTACTGTATAAATTCTGTGATCTAAATGAATGTTGCTGGCACTTCACGTGTAGGTAGAAAAGGTCCTAGGAGATTATATTCTGTGGGACTCCTTGATGGCCTGAAGTGTTTAGTTTCACTGGATTTGGTGATAGATGTCTGTAACTCTAGCCCTCAGCAAGCTGAAGCAGGAGGATCATGAGTTTGAGACTAGTTTGGGCTACTGCATAATACACCTGTTGTGTGCCATTTTGATTGTGTTCTGACAAATAAAGCTTGCTTGGAGTCAGGGTGGAGCTAGCCACTAGCTGACCATAGAGGTCTGGAGGTCTGTACAGAGAGGAACAGGAAGTGATAAGGCAGGGCGGAGACAGGCTCTCAGCCCCTTTTAACTGGAGGACCAGAAGAAGGACTGTGGCTGCTCTCCTGCTTCTCTGACCTTTCAGGTTTTACCCTGATATCTGACTCCTGGTTTTTACTGATAAGATTAATTAGATGTACGCTTCAGAGACCTTTTCTCAAAAGCAATAATACAGGTAGGCATGGGGCTGGAGAGATGGCTCCGGGATTAGAGAGTGCTAGCTGCTCCTGCAGGGGACCTGAGTTTTGTTCCCAGCACCCATGTCAGGTGGCTCACAACCACTTATAACTCCAGCTCCAGGGGGATCTGAGACGTTCCTCTGGCCTCTGGGGGGCATCCCACTCACACATTTGCATGTACATACACAGAAACTTGTTGTTGTTGTTGTTTGTTTTGTTTTTCGAGACAGGGTTTCTCTGTGTAGCTTTGCGCCTTTCCTGGATCTTGCTCTGTAGACCAGGCTAGCCTCGAACTCACAAAGATCCACCTGCCTCTGCCTCCCAAGTGCTGGGATTAAAGGCGTGCGCCACCTGGGAGCCAGATGTGGTTGACACCTGCCTGTCATTCCTGGCAGGCTCAGGAATTCAAGGACAGCTCAGCTATATAATAAGTTCAAGGCCAGTCTGAGCTACGTGAGACCTTGTCTGGAGGGAGGGAGAGAGAGAGAGAGAGTCCAAAAAGTCCTCTGACTTTCATATGTGTTCTTTAGTGTACATGCCTACACATAAAATAAGTAAATATAATAAAAGCCATTTTAAGAAAGAAAAGTTTCCCTGCCTCCTGCATTGTTATGTACAGGATAGAAATAAAGCATAATTACTAGGACACTGATGATTGTTCATTATTGCTTGATGCAGAATTCATGACAACTGATAAGGATCAGCCCCTCTCACTCACCTGTCATATTTCTTTCTTTGTTAAAGGCTGACATTTTAAGTCAAGCATGGTGGTATGTGTCTGTATTCCCAGCACTTGGAAAATAGAGGCAGGAGGGTCAGGAATTCATAGTCAGCCTTGGCTACATAGTTCGATGTCAGCAGGGTGGGCTGCGTAAGACCCTTTTGCAAAATAAAATAAAAATAAAAACAAAAACAGCCAGGTGTGGTGGCACATTCCTTTGATCCCAACACTCAGAAGGCAGACGCAGGGAGATCCTGATGATTTTGCGGTCTGCTTGCTTGGTCTATAGATTGAGTTCCAGGCCAACCAGGGGCTATTTTATGAGACTCTGTCTTTAAAAAAAAAAAAATGTAACGCTCTTATCTCAAGAACTTCCTGGTCTGCCATGATGGGACCCAACTTACCACACATCCTTGCTTCTTTGCTGTGGGAGCTGCAGGTTAGGTAGGGTCTGGGTATTCTCTAAGGACTGCCTCCTGCCCTCAATGTCCTAGGGATGCCTCAAAGCTTCCCAAAGCTTCTGGCATCTCCATCCTACACCAGCTTGGGGATCAAACCTTTAAACCATAATGGACCCTCAGTTCATACCCACAGGACTGTAGTCATCTGATCACGGGGACACAGACATCACTCACATCCTCGTTTCTCTTTTACAGGAACAATGGCCCAGGTAGCAATGTCCACCCTGCCCGTTGGAGATGAGTCCTCAGACAGGACGGTGGTGACGTTCCTCATGTCTGCTCTGGAGTCCATGGTGAGACACTCCAGTTTTGCCAGTACCTCAGATGGTTGTTGAGCTGAAGGATGGTGACACCCTTCACTGTCACTTTATTTATTTATTTATTTATTTGTTTGTTTGTTTATTATGTGCACTGGTGTTTTGCCTACCTGTATGTTTGTATGAGGGTGTCAGATCTTGGAGTTACAGACAGTTGTGAGCTGCCATGTGGGTGCTGGGAATTGAACCCGGGTCTTCTGGAAGAACAGTCAGTGCTCTTAACCACTGAGCCATCTCTCCAGCCCTCACTGTCACTTATTATATAACCCCCTCTTGTCTGTATGGGGGTATCCTTCAGTCTAGGCGTGGTGGCACACATCTGTGAACCCCAGCACTTTGAGAGGTAGAGAAAGGAGGATCCGGAGTTCAAGGTCATCAAAGGTGTAAGGGTTGGTGTGATCTTTTTATTGTATTTAGTGTATGTGATGTGTAGTTGTAAGTTTTCCTGGTCCCGCCCTGCTCCTGTGGCTCTGCAGTCCTGTAGCCACTCAGACCCCAATGAACACGCAGAGGCTTATATTAATTACAAACTGTATGGCCTAATGGCTCAGGCTTCTCGCTGGCTAGCTCTTATATCTTAATTAACCCATTTCTGTAAATCTATAATTTGCCACGTGGCTCATGGCTTGCCGGTACCTTCACATCTTGCTTCTTCTGGCAGTAGCTAGCAGCATCTCATTCCCTTTCTCTTCCTTCCTTTCTCTCTGTTTAGAATGTCCCACCTAACCTTATTTTGCCTCACCATTGGCCAAACGGCTTTATTTATCAACCAATCAGAGCAACACATATTCACAGCACATAGAACGACATCACCTATCAGTGATATGTGTGCCAGTGTGTATGCCATAGAGTGCACCCTGAGGTCAGAGGACCACTTTGGGGAAGCTAGTATTCTCCTTCCATCATGTGGGTCAAGTCAGGTTGTAAGGCACACACCCACACACTGGGCCATCTTGCTAGCCTAACAGTGAGTTCAAGGCCAGTCTGGTACACATGAGACCATCCTCTTTACCCCCTAAAAAAACAAACAAACAAAAAAACTAGAAATATCTGCCCCCAACACCATGGGAGGAAACAGATCCATTCCTACATTTGACAAGCAAGCGCCCATGATGGACCTTCTACATCCAGGCCTCTTCTAGACAATGGGGTACAAGATGTAAGGGCAGACCAGGGCCCCCTCACAGGTCTTCTATCCCGTGTGTATGTGTTTCTGTAGGTAAATATAATATCATAAAGGAGGGTCAGCAAGACAGTTCAGCCAACAAAGGAGTTTCAATTCTCGGGACTCACGGAGGAGGAGAAAACTGGCCCTGCAAGCTGTTCTCTGACCTGCACATGAGTACTGTGATGTGGGTGTGCTAGTGTGCACACACACACACACACACACACACACACACACACACACACACACACTATTATTTCTACTACTCATAATAAAATGAAAAGTAGCATATGGAAAGAGGTGTTTAAGGGAGAATGAAGGAGTAGCTTGGAGTCTGGGAGAAAGTTTCTTCATACTTGCCCCCCCCTTTTGCTTTGTTTTTTGAGCCCAGGCTGAGCTTGAACTTGCTGTGTTGCAGAGGCTTTGATCCCCCTGCCTCCACCTCCTCAGTGCTGGGATCCTGGGTGTGTGCCATCTCTCTTGTACTTGATTTTTCCTTCTGTCCCCTCAGCTCCTCAGCTGACCTGACCAATCCTAGACCATTGTCCTTTTGTTTTTCTGTCTCAGTGTAAAGAGCTGGCCAAGTCCAAGGCTGAGGTGGCCTGCATCGCCGTGTACGAGACGAATGTGTACGTGGTGGGGACAGACCGAGGCTGTGCCTTTGTCAACGCCAGACAGGATTTCCAGAAAGACTTCGCACAGCACTGTAGGTGGCCGCCGTTGTATCCTGTTGTCTCTGGTGCTGTTTGGTTGAGGGGTTGGTTTTTATATTGGGGATTGAATTTAAGGCCTTACCCATGCTAGGCAAGTATTCCACCTGCCATTGAACTGTATACCGCATCCCCAGTTTTAACCCCACATTTTACTTTATTAAATTTTTTTTTTGAGATGATCTCATGTAGCTCTAACTGACCTGCAACTTGCTGTGTAGACTAGGTTGGCCTTGAACTCACAGAGATCCTCCTGCCTCTGACTCCTGCTTGCTGGAATGAATTAACAACATATACACTGTGCCTAGCCTGGTAATATGATTTTGCTCATCATTCTGTTAACATGATATATTGCATTTATTGATTTTAGGGTTTGTTGTTATTGATGTTTTGTTTGGTTTTGGTTTTTTCAAGACAGGGTTTCTCTGTGGAGCCCTGGCTGTCCTGGAACTAGCTCTGTAGACCAGCCTGGCATTGAACTCAGAGTTTCATTTGCCTTTGCCTTCCAAGTGGTGGGATAAAGTTTACACCACAACACCTGGCTGCATTTATTGATTTTTTTTAAAACATTTACTTCTATTTTGTGTGTGTGTGTGTGTGTGTGTGTGTGTGTGTGTGTGTGTGTGTGCATGCATGTGAGTATAAATGCCCAGAGTCCAGAAGAAGGCATCAGATCCCCTGGAGCTGGGTTTACAGGCAGCTTGCGAATGTGAGCTATTCTTCTAAAGGACCCGAGTTCGATTCCCAACATCCACATCAGGAGGCTCACAGCCACCTGTAGCTCCATCTCCAGGGCGATCCAACACCTCTGGCCTTCATGGATGGTCACATCATAGACTCATGTGCACATACCACACATACACACATACATGATACACATAATTAAACATACTAAATTTTAAAAAAAGGTTTGCTTCATAGTTTCAATGTTTTTTTTTTTTTTTTTTTTACTTAAAGATTTATTTTTGTTTTTAAGTTTGTGTCAGGCATTATGTGTATGTGAATGCAGTTCCCCCAGGGGCCAGAAGAGGGCACCAGACCCCTGGAGATGGAGTTCCAGGCAGTGGTGAGCCCTGACATTGGTGCTGGGAACCAAGCCTGAGTCCTCTGCAAGACCAGCTCACACTCATAACCATAGCCAGTGAGCTTTCTCTCTAGTTTCTGTAACACCTTTATTTGTAAAATAAATTTAAAAAAAAAATCAATCCCACATGGCAATGGAATACAATCCTTCTAATATTGTTGAGTGAGCCTATTAGTATTCTGTTGGGGATTTTCCCATCAGCATTGATCAGACATGCAGCCCTGGGATTTTCTTTGCTGGCATGTAATTTTTACTTTTGCTGAGACAGGGTCTTGTGTAGCCCAGGCTGGCCCAAACTCACTAGGTAGCTGAGGATTACCGACCACTCATGATCCTCCTGCCTGCACCTCCCGAGTGCTGGGATTACAAGTGTGTGCCACCATGCCCAGCTCTAGTTTCTTGAGATGGTGTGGGATTTAGTTGCTGATTGGAGGATTTTTCTTGTTATTTTTTGTCCTTTTGAGACAGGGTCAACTGAGAGAATCTAGTCAATGCTGCCCTGTGCTGGTCCCCCTTCCTCAGACTCCCAAGGGCTGGGGTCACTGATGTCGGTGCTCACCCAGGCATACAGGTTGAGCAGTAGCTTTATTTCAGGGGTGACCACCATGCTTGACCCTAGTCATCATATGAACCTGCTACCCTGTCGGGGCTGGAGAGATGGTCAGTGGTTGCTGCACATACAGAGGACCCAGATTGGCTCCCAGCATTCAAATCAGATTGCTAAGAACCTCTGGCAACTCCAGCGCCAAGGAATCCGATGTCCTCTTCTGGCCTCCAAGGACATGCGTCCACACATATACATGCACATAAGAATAAATCTTGGGGCTGGGGTAATAAATCTTAGCTCAGTGGTAGAGCGCTTGCCTAGCAAGCGCAAGGCCCTGGGTTCGGTCCTCAGCTCTGGGGGAAAAAAAAAAAAGAATAAATCTTAAACCTACTCTATTCTTGGGACTAGGAGGTACAGCTCCGTTAGTAGAGTGGTTGTCTTGAATGTGTGAAGCCCTGACTTCCATCCTTAGAAAAACAAAAACTCCTCTTTAGTGCCTTATGTGAAAGGGCCATTTTATGAATCCCATCCCCCACCCCCACCCACCAAGTACCAGAAATACAGATGGGAGGGGACAGAAAGAACGCTTGCTCTGACCCATCCTCATCCTGTGCTTGCAGGCCAGGGAGAAGGACTGACTGAAGAGAAGCCACTGTGTTCTGAAAATGGGACTCAGGTCTGCTCCGGAGAAGCCCGATTGCTCAGGAAAGCAGTGGAAGATCATTTCTGCCTTTGTTACCGTAAGTCCCCATGGAGCATGGGCACCCCATACGCGCGCGTACGCACGCCATACAGTACACATGTGGGTTACAGAACAGCTTGTAGGAAGCTGGTGTTCTCCCTCCATGGTGGGTTTAGAAGATGGATTGAACTCAGGTCACCATGCTTGCCCAGTAAGCACTTTTCTCCCTGAACCCTCTCTCCGGCCCACAAGCACTCTAAATAGCCACGTAGGAACTGTGTAATTGTATCAGCTAGATGACTTAGGATTCTATGAACGCGTTTACTCATCTATTTATATATTTATTTTGCAGTGCTCTCGGGGAAACCCAGAGTCTCATGCATGCCAGGCAGGTGCTCTACCACTGAGCCACACCCCCAGCCTCTCACTGGGAGATTCTAGGCAGGTACTCTACCACTGAGCCACACCCCAGCCCCTCACTGGGGGATTCTAGGCAGGGGCTCTACCACTGAGCCACACCCCAGCCCCTCACTGGGGGATTCTAGGCAGGGGCTCTACCACTGAGCCACACCCCCAGCCCCTCACTGGGGGATTCTAGGCAGGTGCTCTACCACTGAGTCACACCCCAGTCCCTCCCTGGGGGATTGATTCTAGTTCCATTCTCAGCATCACAAAGAAAAAGAAAAACACACACAAAAAATACACCTCTAAATCATCAGATAGCTATGCAGAAGAAAGGGGAGTGTAATAAGTACCAATATGAGCAAATACAATGATACACACATACATATAGGCAAATGTCACCAGAAAGCTAGATATGATGGAGCACACTTGTGATTCTAGCACTCAGGACTCTGAGGCAGGAGGATCACTGCAAGTTGGATACCAACCTGGAGTTCAGGCCACCATGGGCAACCTTTCTTTTTATTTTATTTTATTTTTGGTTTTTTGAGACAGGATTTCTCCATGTAGTTTTGGTGCTTGTCCTGGATCTCACTCTATAGACCAGGCTGGCCTTGAACTCACAGAGATCCGTCTGGCTCTGCGTCCCAAATGCTAGGATCAAAGGCATGTGCCACCACCACCCGGCTGGGCAACCTTTCTCAAAAGCAAAAGTAAGAGAACTAGCCAAGCACATGCCTTTAATCCCAGCACTTGGGAGGCAGAGGCAGGTGGATCTCTGTGAGTTTGAGGCCATCCTGGTCTACACAATGAGTTCCAGGACAGCCAGGACTGTTGTTACACAGAGAAACTCTGTCTCAAAAAAAATCAATAAATAAGCCTGGTGGTGGCAGCACAGGCCTTTAATCCCAGCACTCAGGAGGCAGAGGCAGGTGGATTTCTGTGAGTTTGAGGCTGGGGAGATAACTAAATAAACAAATATAAGGGGGGGCGGTAAATATATAAGGGTATAAATAAAATAGGAAAGGAAAGGAAAACCAGGAAAAGAAAACAGTGTAAGGGCCTGGGATGGAGGTACACACCTTTAATCCTGGCACTCAGCAGACTGAAGTAGAAGGATCAAGAGTTCAAGGCCAGCCTGGGCAATAGGAGACTGTCTGAAAAACACCCCACAAAAGCATCATAATTATAATAACAATATACTGCCCTCAGTTTCTAAGGGCCTGGCTTCCCAACCCCACACAGCTTCATGCATTTCTGTATTGTGTAAGTGCCTGAGAGTGGGAGCCTTCAGTACAGGGTGCCTGGGGTCCCAGGTGACAACCAAGATTAGCCATCATGAGAGGGATAGTTTATCATGACAGGGAAGCCTTGGCGGCAGTCAGGGAAGAAGCTAGCTGATCACACTGCAGCCACACTCAGGAGAGAAAGAGAGCGTACTTTGTGCTTTTGGTGTATGTTCAAGCCACAGGTCCCTGTGTCTATTACCCTAGAAGAAGCTGGCGGGCAGAAACTTCTAAGTACCATCTCTCACTTCCTTTTCTAGGTAAAGCACTGGGGACGACAGCCATGGTCCCTGTTCCCTATGAGCAGATGCTTCAGGACAAGGCAGCTGTGCTGGTTCAGGGCCTTCCGGAAGGCCTGGCCTTTCAGCACCCTGACAGTTACAGTCTTGCAACCCTGAGGTGGATTCTGGAGAACAAAGCAGGGATCTCATTCATCATAAACAGGTAATCCGCTCCGTATCCCCTGACAGTTGTCTTAAAGGTAAGCTGGATTAAATCAAGTATGGCGGCACAGGCCGCGAGACTGAGGCAGGAGAATCGCTGAGGCAAGCCTGGTTTACAGTGAGTTCAAGGACAGCCTGGGATATATACTGAAACCCTGTCTCAAAAAAATGAATAAATACATAGATAAGATTGCCATGGTCTGAGGCCAGGGCTGAGCCATAGAGCACTCACCTGGCATGCGCCAGGTCCTGGGTTCTCTGCCCAGAATTGCAACAAAATAAAAGTGGATTGTTTGCTGTGTTGACTGCTCTGCCTGTGTTCATGTTGGGTAATGGTGTTGGTTTTCTTGCAGACCTTTCCTAGGTGCAGAGAGCCAGCTGGGTAAGTAGCGGGTTCTGATTCTTGGTGACTGCCCAGAACCACTGAACCCATTCTGATATTACGATGATGATGCATGTTTTCATATTCTCCTTCATTTTATCACATCAAGGAGGCAACCTGGGCTGGGAGCTGGTGGTAGCTTGATAGTAGCTCTCTTACCTATAGGATTGCCCAGTGAGGGGCTGGGGGGGTGTGGTTCAATAGTAGAGCACCTGCCTAGAATCCCCCAATGCGGCTGGGAGCATAGCTAAGTGGTAGAGTGCCTGTCTAGATCCATTGGTGGGTTTCTAGAGGTATAGCTTAATGGGAAATAATTTGTCCAGTATCCCCTAGTTAGGGGCTCAGGGCATGGACTCAGTGGTAGAGCACCTTCCTAGAATCCCCCAGTGAGGGTCTGGGGGTGTGGCTCAGTGGTAGAGCACCTGCCTAGAATCCCCCAGTGAGGGGCTGGGGTATGGCTCAGTGGGAGAGCACCTGCCTAGAATCCCCCAGTGAGGGGCTGGGGTGTGGCTCAGTGGGAGAGTGCCTGTGTAACATGCATGAGATGGGTTCTCTCATCAGCACTACAAAGAAGAGAGAGAGAACCTGTGATACTTGAGTACTAGGCTGGCACAGGAAGAGACAGCAGAAGAGACCCATCACAGCTCAGACTGGGGTGATTCTGTAGTGACACCTGGTCCTCCAGAGGAGTGTGGGGATGTAGGGAATCAACTGCTGGTCTGTGAGTACCAGCTCTGCCAGGGCCTGTGTTATTGGGTTTGAGGGATCAGGGGCTCATTCTTTTGTCTCTGAAACCCCAGTCTAGGAGAAGAAATGATTCTGTTTAGCAAAGAGCCAGGCAAACAATGGTGCTCTTAAGATGTCAGCATCATCCCTGGGGTAGGGATGGGGCTAGAATAGTGTGATTGAAAACCTCCACAGGAATGGGGTGTTGGTGGCGCATGCCTTTAATCCTAGCACTCTGGAGGCAGAGTCAGGTGGATTTCTGTGAGTTCGAGGCCAGCCTGGGCTACAGAGTGAGTTCCAGGAAAGGCTCCAAAGCTACACAGAGAAACCCTGTCTCAAAAAAAAAAAAAAAAAAAAAAAGTCCAAAGAAAGGACCAGAGAGATGCTCCAGTGCTTAATAACTCTTGCAGAAGACCAGAACCCAGTTCCCAGCACCCACACAGTGGTGGCTCACAACTGCCTGTGGGATCCATGCCTGCTTCTGGCTTCCAAGGGCATCACACATGCATGAGATATACGTGCATGCAGGCACTGGCACATGCACATAAAGAGTAAGAATAAGCCTTTTTAAAAAAGTCCGAGGCCAGCCTGGTCTACAGCGCGAGATCCAGGAAAGGCGCAAAGCTGCACAGAGAAACCCTGTCTCGAAAAACCAAAAAAAAAAAAAAAAAAGAAGTCCAAAACATGTAGTTTGGTGGTTGAATGACAGGTGACTATGTGACTGTCATCCCAGAATAATTCATATTTATTTCTTACCAAATAACAGTCACACACAGCAGCTGACATTTAGTGTTCCCATAGTGACAGTGTTCTGTTGTTTCTCAGCCCGTGGGATGTCAACACTGGAACTCCACATGAGAACTCCAAAGTCCCTGGATGCCACGTCCATTCTATACAGTGGCAGGGGGTTTTCCAGTGAGGCCTGTGCTCAAGTTCTGTATGCCTTAATCCAGTCCAGTTCACTTAGAATACCCCATAGCGCCGGGCGGTGGTGGCACACGCCTTTAATCCCAGCACTCAGGAGGCAGAGGCAGGTGGATCTCTGTGAGTTCGAGGATAGCCTGGTCTACAGAGTGAGTTCCAGGACAGGCTCCAAAGCTACAGAGAAACCCTGTCTCGAAAAAAACTAAAAAAAAAAAAGGATACTCAATATCACAATAGCAGGAAAGGGGGGTAAATATTAGACTGGCCAGCATGATGGCCAAGGGCCCTCATCCCAGTGCTAGGGAGACTGAGGCAGGAGAATAATAGGTTTGAGGCCTGCCTGGGCCATAGAATGAGCTCCAGGCCAGCCTAAGCTCCATGATGAGCCCTCATTGCAAACCAACAAAACAGAGCTAAGGTGCCAGAACTCAGTGGGGGAGCACTTGCCTGGCATGTACGTGGCCCTGCTCTGGGAACACTTTGGAGGTTGAGGCAGGAGGATCAGGAGTTCCGGGTCATCCTTAGCTACACAGGGTATTCAGGCCAACCTGAGCTACCTGTCTTAAAAACAAAATCAGCAACAAAACCCAAAATGTAATAGTGTATTGTGTAGGGAATAAGGATGACACTCTAAGCCTCTCTGCATGTCCAGGGCATTGTTTTTCTTCCACAGTCTCCTCAGCCTGTGCTGGGGACCTGGGGGTTGGGAACCCCTGGATGTGGAGGATCAACTACACGCTAATCCTTGCAGTTTCCATGAAGAGTCAGACAGGCCAGTGTAGTGACTTGCTCAGGTGACCCAGCTGGGGAGTGGCCAGGCTGGGTTCCTCACCCACACTCCTGATACTGTCTGCCCACTTCCAGTGAACACTACCAGCTGCTATAATAAGCAGGGCTGTTTTAATCCAGCCTCCTCCCCCGCCAGCATTCTGTGATGGCTTTGAGTTGAGAATTCTCTGTTCTGTCTTTGCTTTCAAGTGATGTGTCGTTAAATGTGAGTCCTGTCCCACAGTGCTGAGAGAGACTAATGTGTACCTTTTTGTTCTTGCACAGGTGGCCTTGGGATGGCGACAGGTGCCCAGAGGCTGACACTACCACCAAATGACAGGTAAAAACAAATAAAATAAAATAAAACAGTAATTAATAATGGCATAGTATGAACCAGGCAGTAGTGGTGCATTCCTTTAATCACAGCACTTGGGTGGCAGAGGCAGGCGGATCTCTAAGTGGATCTACAGGCCAGCCTGGTCTACAGAGGGAGTTCCACGAAAGCCAAGACGACACAGAGAAACCCTGTCTTGAAAAAACAAAAAATAAAAATTTTTTAAAAAAGTAAAAAAAAATCAGTAAAGGCATAGAATGAATAATAAACCAGGAATAGTGGCAAAGCCTTGTGACCCCAGGATCGAGAGGGGAGACAAGAGGATCAGGAGTTCAAGGCCATCCTTGACTACGTAGTGAGATTGAGGACGGCCTGCATGAGACCTTGTCTCAAAACCAAAAAAGAAAAAAGAAAAAAGGCCAGGAATGGGTTTTTTATTTTTTATTTTATGTGTTCGAGTGTTTTACCTGCATGTAGGTCTGTATACCCTGTGTGTGCCTGGAGCCTATGGATGTTTGAGAGGATATCAGATCCCCTGTAACTGGAGTCACGGGGAGTTATAAACTGCCTGGTGTGGGTGCTGGGAACCAAACCTGAGTCTTGGAAGAGCGTTTAAGTTATCCATCTTACATGCTGAGCCGTTTTTCTAACCATCATCAGTGTGTGTGTGTGTGTGTGTGTGTGTGTGTGTGTGTGTGTGTGTGTGTGTGTGTGTGTGTGTGTGTATGTGTGTGTGTGTGTGTGTGTATGTCCTGGAACTCACTCTGTAGACGAGGCTGGCCTGGAACTCACAGAGATCCTCCTGCATCTGCCTCCTGAGTGCTGAGATTAAGGTATGCACCACCATGCCCAGCTCCACTGATTTTCTTGACTTGAGTTCCCTTCTCCTCACAGCTATGGCCCCATCAGTGTGAAAACTGAACCCATGGAAGATTCTGGTAGGTACACTGATGTTCTGACACTCAGATGTTTAGCAGGTTACCGTTTGACTGGCTGCTTTTTACTTCCTTTTATAAAAATGACTTAAGTCTTTTTCTAAGAATAACTAAGGAATTAACCGTAGCTTGGACCGTATTTATAGAGTACCAGGGAAGTACTGCTTATCTGAAATGTTTGGTTCCCAGCCATTGAGATGGCTCAGGAGGTAAAGACACTTGCCTGTTGACCTGAGTTCAAGCCCCAGGATACACATCTTGTAAGAAGAGCGCCAATGCCCCCAAGCCATCCTCTGCCCTCACACACTGCACTCCATGGCACGTTACACATGCATGCAACACACACATAGAAAAATAAATGAGTGAAAGGCAGGAGCAATGGTTCAGCTGTGAGGAGCACTTCCTGTTCTTCCAGGGGACCTGGGTTTGGTTCCCAACACCCGCATGGTGGCTCACACCCTTATGTAACTCCACTTCCAGAGGATCAGATTCCCTCTCTGACCTTCACAGTCACCAGGTATGCATATACACATGAAATAAAATAAATCTAAAAAAAATTAGATAAATACAGTTTGGCCTCAGAAAGCATCTTCAGTTTCGGATTTTGTCAGATTTGGGATTTTTTTTTTTTTTTTTTTTTTTTTTGAGGCAGAGTCTTGCTGTATAGCTCAAGCTTAAAATGTGGGATTGTGGGACTAGAAGGGATAGCTCAGTGGTTAAGAGCACTGCCTGCCCTTCCAGAGGCCCTGAGTTCAATTCCCAGCATCCACATGATGGCTCACAGTGTTCTATAATGGTAGTGTCATGGGATCTGATGCCCCCTTCTGGTGTGCAGACATGCAGGGAAAAAAGTCTACATAAGGTACATAAACAAACAAACAAATAAATAATGTGGGATTACATGTGTAGTTACATATGCAGGTATGCACACCTCTGTCTACTGAGGCTATAAGGAGGCATTGGATGACATCCTCTGTCTCTCCAGCTGTTCCTTGATGCAGTCTTTCCCTAAACCTGAGACTCAATTTTTTTGTTTGAGGCTGGAAGCCCAAAAGACCCAGCAATCCTTCTGTCTCTAGTCCATGTGGAGCTGGGATTACAAGTGTATGTTGGACGCCTGGCCTGCTTTGTGGGTGCTGGGACCCGAATTCAGTCCTCGTGACTACATAACCTGTGCTGTTAGCCAGCCACCTGCCCATATCCCCAGCCCCCGCATAGCTTTGGGGTGTTTGTTTTTTAAATTCCCTGACCATCCAAGACACAAGCCAATGACAGTTGAGACTGGAGAAGTGCCCATCACCAGTGGTAAGCAGGAAGGAGCTGAGAGCCGAAAGCCGACAGACAGGTTGGGACCGAGGTGCATGCCCACAGCTCAGTTCTGCTCAGCTCTAACACTTGGCTCACTTTTTTCCTCTTGTTTTTCGTTTTTCCGGAGCTATTGCTAGAGTTTGGTCTTACATGTTCCCCACAGGGCCAATGTTGAACACTTTTCCCCAGGGATGCATTGGGAGATGGTGGGGCCTTTGAAAGGTGGAGTCTCCTAGGAAGTCTTCAGGTCATCGAGGCATGCCCCTGCAGACTGGCCTTCAGTTTACTGTTAGCCAAAGAGGGTTTTACTTTTAAGACTCAGTCCTTAAGACTAGGCCCTTTGCTGGCCTGGGACTTGCCATTTGGATGAGGCTGGCCTTGAACTCACAGAGATTGGCCTGCCCCAGCCTCTGGAATGCTGGGATTAAAGGCGTGTGCCGTTGTCTCCTGCTTCCAAAGAGGATCTTGAACTTCTGATTTCTCCTGCTTCTGCCTCTACCTCCCGAGTCCTGGGGTGACAGATCTGTGCCACCATTCCCACCAAACCAGATGTTTCATTGGTTGGTTGTGGTTACCTGAGCCCTCACTGTGGTCTCTTGCTCTCACAGGGACTTCACCGAAGGCAGCAGCCGTGTTAGTCAAGACAGAGTCAGAAGATCCTAATTACCAACAGTGTAACATGCAAGGTAATGCTGTCCCAGTCCCGTGACAACCGGAATGGTAGTGGCCACTCACTTGAGAGATGATAGAGAGGAACAAGGGGACAGGAAATGGCTTGGAGGGTAAGACCACTTGCTGTGCAAGCATGAGGACCTGAGTTCAGATCCCCAGTGAAGGCGTTAATGCAGCGCTCGTGGCGGAAGAATCACGAGCCATGGTTACCTTTTTAGAGCTTTATTAGGAGGAAGGAAAGAGAGACAGACAGACAGACAGACAGACAGAGAGACCGTGTGGAGGGGAAGTACAGAGAAAATAGGAGAGAGAGTGGGAGGGCACGTCCGCTTTTCAGCCTGGGACGCCGTCGCAGGCTGATGACATAACAAGGACAGAACCCTTACACCCAGCACCCATGCAAAAAGCATGATGTGGCCGTAGGTGCCTGTAACAGCAGCGCTCTGGGGAGCAGAGACGGGAAGATCACGGGGCTTGCTGACCTAGCCCATGTCTCAAGGGGGTAAGGTGGAGAGTGACAGATCAGCACACCGGCTGTCCTCTCACCTCTGTGCATGCACAAGGACACCTGTGCTCACACACGTGTGTGAATATACCACACACAAGTACAGATGTATGTGTGTTGACCTCGACTAGCAAGTTGCCTTTTGAATTATAGGATGAATTGAATTTATCTTAAATCCAGTGGGGCATTTGCAGAGCACACCTGTAATCCCAGCTCTCAGAAGGTGAAGGCAGGAGAATCACAAATTCAAGGTTATTCTTGACTAGATAGCAAGTTCAAGCCCAGATTACATGAGACCCTATCTCAAAAATTAAGAAGAGCAGGCCTGAGAGATGGCTCAGTGGTTAAGAGAGCTCACCTACTGCTCTTCCAGAGGATCTGAGTTCAATTCCCAGCACCCACATGGCAGCTTACAACTGTCTGTAACTCTACTTCCAGGGGTTCTGAAACCCTCACATAGATGTACATGCAGGCAAAACACCAATGCACATAAAATAATTTTTTTTATTAAGAAAATAGACAGTGGTGGCATATGCCTGTAATCCTAGTGCTCCTGAGGCAGAGGCAGGCAGATCTCTGAGTACAAGGCCAGCCTGGTCTGCAGAACTAGTTCCAGGACAGCCAAGGCTACACAGAGAAACCCTGTCTCAAAAAAAAAAAAAAAAAAAAAAAAGGCTGGGTGTCTTTGTCTTTAATATTGGCACAGTGTGGCGGGAGGGGGAGGTGGGGGGCGGTAAAGACCTGAGGACCAGCTAGGTGGTAGGGGTGGCGAATGCATTTAATCCCAGCACTCAGGAGGCAGAGACAGGCAGATCTCTGAATTTGAGACCAGCCTGGTCTACATAAAGAATTTCAGGACAACCAGGGCTACAGGGAGAAACTCTGTCTTGAAAAACAAAAACAAAAAAAGAAATAAAGCCGGGCGGTGGTGGCGCACGCCTTTAATCCCAGCACTCGGGAGGCAGAGCCAGGCGGATCTCTGTGAGTTTGAGGCCAGACTGGGCTACCAAGTGAGTTCCAAGAGAGGTGTAAAGCTACACAGAGAAACCCTGTCTCGAAAAAACCAAAAAAAAAAAAAAAAAAAAAGAAATAAAATGAAGAAAAGCTTCTCAAGGTGCCATGGTATAGTCATGGATTGATCAGGTAATGCAATTTATTGAGCCAAGTAAGCGGTTTGTAAAGGACCCAGTTTAGCTGGTTAAAAGATGCACCAGGCCGAATTCTAGGGCATTGAGAGAAGGCTCAGCAGTTAAGAGCACTGTCTACTCTTCCAGAGTACCTGGGTTCAATTCCCCGAACCCACACAGTGGTTCACAATCATCTATAACTATGTTCCTATGGGATCTGATGCCCTCTTCCAGTGTGCAGATGTACATGCATCAAAACCCCATAGACATTAAATAGGGTTTAATATGGGGTATAATAAATAATTCCAGAAGCACTGTGGCTTACACTCCAACACATTTGCATACACACAATAGATAAATTAATGTAAAATCATTTTTTTTTTTGTTTTCTGAAATAGGATTTCTCTGTGTAGCCCTGGCTGTCCTGGAACTCACTCTGTAGACCAGGTTGGACTCAAACTCAGAGATCCACCTCCCTCTGCCTCCCGAGTGCTAGGATTAAAGGTGTGCACCACCCAGACATTGTAAAATATTTTTTTTAAGATTTATTTTTTATGTATACAGTGTTCTGTCTGCATGTATGCCTGCATACCAGAAGAGGACACCAGAAAGAGGTGGTTGTGAGCCACCATATGGTTACTGGGAATTGAACTCAGGACCTCTGGAAGAGCAGCCAGTGCTTTTAACCTCTGAGTCATCATCTCTCTAACCCCTGTAAAAACAATTTTTTAAGATAGGAGAAAAAGGACTTTGTAGTGATACAATTGTTTTAGGATTACCATGCTTCTGTAAACTCCCCTTTTTAATGAATTTTTTGGGGTTTTTTTTTTATTTGTTTGAGACAGGGTCTTATGTAGCCCAGGCTGGCCCCAAACTTACTGTGTCCTAGAGGATAATCTTGAACTCCTGATCCTCCTGCCTCTACCTCCTGAGTGCTAGAGTTATGTGTGGGCACCCCTCCTAGTTTTATGTGGTGCTGGGGATAGATCTGCACACTAGGTAAGCACTCTGCCTGCTGAGCACATCCCAGTCTTTGAAATGGTTCCCTTGCATTTAGTAACTTCTAAATGTTATATTACATTTTTATTTATTTATTGGTGGGGAAAGGCGGGGAGTGCCATTGTGCTTGAGTGGAGATCAGAGGATGATTTTCAGGAGTCAGTTCCCCCTTTCATAATATGGGTCCCGGGAATCAAACTGAGGTCATCAGGCGTGGCTGCAAGCACCTTTACCTGGTGAGCCGTCTTCATGGTCCTAGTGACTTCTGTATGAGTTGCATTTTTCACTGAGCTATAGATGGCTTATTCTCCTTCCAGGAAGCCAGCATTCTTCCACGAGCAGTGAAGTCACAGAAATGGAATTACCATCTGAAGGTTAGAAAACAAAGCATCTCCTCCCCTTAAACACGTGGGAAATAAAGAAAGCAGCTTCCTGGTGTGCCTGTCCTAGGAAGCAGTACCGAGGGCTGTGTGCTTCCTGTTCACGATCTGTCGGTAGGAACCTCACACTGGTCCAGCCTGTGGCCTTACACAGCATTAGGTCTTTTTGTTTGTTGACAGAGGATCTAGGTAGCCTAGGTTGGGGCTCACCATGTAGCCACTGGCCTCAAACTTGCATCAGTCCTGTCCACCTCCGAGTATGGGAGGTGGAGGGTGTAGAAGCCCACGTCTGGCCTTTTTTTCTTCCTTTCTTTCTTCCTTCCTTCCTTCCTTCCTTCCTTCCTTCCTTCCTTCCTTCCTTTCTTTCTTTCTTTCTTTCTTTTCTTTTTTTTTTTTTAAGATATTTTCGTTGTTTAGATTTATGTATACAGTGTTCTGTCTGCAGGCCAGAAGAGGGCACCAGATCCCATTACAGATAGTTGTGAACCACCATGTGGTTGCTGGGAATTGAACTCACAACCTCAGGAAGAGCAGCCAGTACTCTTAACTGCTGAGTCATCTCTCCAGCCCCCCGCCCCCTTTGTGTGTGTGTGTGTGTGTGTGTGTGTGTGTTCTCTGAGACAGGGTTTTTCTGTGTAGCTCTTGCTGTGCTAGAACTTGCTCTGTAGACCAGGATGGCTTCGAACTCAGAGATCCGACTGTCTCTGCCTCCTGTGTCCTGGGATTAAAGGCGTGTGCCACCACACCAGGCGCTCCTTTTTTGTTTTTGTTTTTGTTTTTGTTTTGTTTTGTTTGAGACAAGGTTTTACTCTGTAGCCCTGGCTGGACTCAAAGTCACAGAGATCCACCTGTTTCTGCCTCCCAAGTGCTGGGATTAAAAGAATGCACAGTCACACCCAGACCTCTTTTTTCAGAACACAGGCTTTGAACTTACACTTCAGGCTGGCCTCAAACTTGAAATCCTTCTGCCTCAGCTTCCTTAGAGCTAGGATTGGATGTGTGGACCATTATATCCTACATCTTTTTTTCCCCTAAATCCTAGTAATTCAGAATATTTGTTTTATTGGTTCAATTTTTTGAGATAGGGTTTCAGCCTTGGCTGTCCTTGAACTCACTCTGTAGACCAGGCCTTGAACGCAGAGTGATCCCCCTGCCTCTGCCTCCCATAGTGCTGGGATCAAAGGTATATGCCACCACCACCTGGCTCATTTTATTTTTAGTGGTGTGTGTACATGTCTATGCACCTGAGGTCAGGTGTACACAGGGTCTCAAAGAGGGTGTCAGATCCCCTGGTGTGGGAGTTCCTGGTAGTTGTGGGTGCTGGGAACCAAACTGGGATTCTCTGTATGAACAACAAAAATTGCTCTTAACCACTCAGTCATCTCATTAAGGGGTGGGAGGGTGGTACACAACTTTAATCCCAGAACTCAGGAGGCAGAGGCAGGTGAATCTACATGAGTTCCAGGCCAGCCTGGTCTACAAAGTGAGTTCCAGGACAGCCAGAGATACACGGAAAACTCTCCCCTCAAAAAAATAAAAAATAAACACAAAAACAAAAAAACTGAGTCATCTCTCCAGCAACCCCTCACCACCTCAAAGTAATCCCTTACAAAATTAAGAGCACTGTGACCACATGAAATCCCACTGCACTAGGTAGAGGACTCAGTATCCATGAATGTGAGCAGAACTCCACATGAGGTCATGATGTTTACCTTTGTGGAGACCAGATCTGATGTATCCTAGACTAGCCACAGACTTCCTTTTGTAACTAAGGATGACCTTCAACATCTGATCCTTATGCACTGCTAGGGATGGAACATGCTCTTTACTAACTGAGCCAAGTTCTCTGTCCTGAAATTATCTACCAGATGACTATTTCTGACAAAATTAAAATTCATTGTGTGTTTACTATGTACAAAACATACATGAAATTTCAAGGCTTGGGGCTGGAGAGCTGGCTCAGCAGTATGAACACTTACTGACCTACCAGAGGACCTGAGTTCAGTTCCTAGCAGACACATAGCTGCTTACAACTGTAACTCCAGTTCCAGGAGATCTGACATCTTCTGTCCTCTGCATGAATTGCACACACATAGGCACAAATAAGCATTCGAGCAAACACTCATATACATAAAATAAAATAAATCTTTTTTAAAAATTCTAAAATGGGGGCTGGAGAGATGGCTCAGAGGTTAAGAGCACCAACTGCTCTTCCAGAGGTCCTGAGTTCAATTCCCAGCACCCACATGGTGGCTCACAACCATCTGTAATGAGATCTGGCACCTGCTTCTGTATACATAATAAATAAAAAAAAAAAATTCTAAAATGACGCCAGCCTGAGCTATAAAGTGAGTCCTTGCCCCAAAACAAAACAGAACCCCAGGGCAAGGATAGATTTGAGTGAGGGGTGGGACGGGGACAGTAAAGTGTTGGAACCTGAGGTTACTTAATAATGAATGTCATTTTAGACCTTTTCTTTTCAAGAGTCCACTCCACTGCTCTCTTCAGGGACAAATGAGGACCCTGAGGCTGATGTGAAAATGGAAGGTGAGTCACCAAGAACTCTTGTGGTTGTCACATGGTCAAAGTGGCTTTCACATTTTCTGTAATGATTATCGTAGGATGGAGATTGAAGCCAGAGTGTTATGTGTTCACATCCATGCGTGTGTTGGGTGCTGTGTTGATTTTAATTAGAACGCCCCACAGGCTCACATGTTTGAATACTTGGTCCCCAGTTGGTGGAACTGTTTAGGAAGGATTAGGAGGTATGGCCTGGGTGGTGGAGGTGTGTCACTGGGGGTGGACTTTGAGGTTTCAAAAGCCCACACCATTTCCAGTTCTCTCTGCCTTGTGCTTGTGGATCAAGATGTAAAGCTCTTAGCTACTGCTGTAGCACCATGCCTGCCTGCCTGCTGCTGTGCTCCCTGCCATGATGGTCATGGACTCTAACCCTCTGAAACCCTATGCCCAATAAATTCTTTCTTCTATAAGTTGCCTTGGCAACAGTGTCTTATCACATCAATAGAAAATTAACGGAGACAGATGCCCATGTCTCTGTGCATGTGGAGGTCATAGGACAACTCTGTGGAGTTGCTTCTCTCCTTCCACCTTTATGTGGGTTCTGGGGACCAAACTCAGGTCACCACCTTTACAGGAAAAGTACCTTTACCCACTGAGCCATCTCTCTGTCCCCCTCAAATATGAATGATTAATAGTTCTTTCTTTAACTATAGTTAGAATTAATGTTCGTGGGTTTGGTTTGTGGGGGTCACTGAGTGGTGTCCTCATCCTCCATTTGTGAAAAACTAGCAAGAATACTTGAAGCCCTTGGTCCTGATAATTGTACCTTTACGACAAGAATAAAAGACTTAGCCGGACGGTGGTGGCGCACGCCTTTAATCCCAGCACTCGGGAGGCAGAGCCAGGCGGATCTCTGTGAGTTCGAGGCCAGCCTGGGCTACCAAGTGAGTTCCAGGAAAGGGCGCAAAGCTACACAGAGAAACCCTGTCTCAAAAAACCAAAAAAAAAAAAAAAGAAAGTAAATGTTGGGGGGGGGGGGCGGAGAATAAGGGAATCCGTGGCTGATGTGTAGAGCTAAATTATATTGTAAATAAAATAAAATATAATAAAAATAAAAATAATAAATAAAAAAAAGAAAGTAAATGTTCCTCCAAGTCAGCTGTGTGCAGACAGGAAAAGAGGTTAATTCCAGACCCGTGTCAGTCTGCCAAGGAAGGCGATTCAAGAGCCAAGTGAAATGATGTCGAGTGTCTTTCTGTAGCCACGTATATTTCCACAAATGTAATGCTTTTCAACCTTTTAAAGTTGTTCATTTTGATGTGCAAAATAAGTAAGTAAATGCAGGGGGGAGCATCGGGTGAGAGTCAGGTAAAGTCCCTCTCTCCTTGGTCATCCTGTTAGGCTGCAAAGTGCAGTACCAGTCTCTGCCATCCACCTGGCATGCTAGTGACTGTCACAGTGCCTCGACAAAATGCCTGACTAGAGGGACTGCAGAGATGGCTCAGCGGTTAAGACTGTGTGTTGCTCTTCCGGAGGACCTGAGTGTGGTTCCCAGCACCCATGTCCAGTGGCTCACATCTGCCTGTAACTCCAGCTTCAGGGCATCTCATGCCCTCTTTGGCCTCCAGTGTGCTCACCTAGGCACACATTCATACACATAAATAAAGATATTTTTCTAAAAACAAAATGAGCAACTTAAAGGAGGAGGCGTATCTTGTGACTCACAGTTTGAAGGGATACAGTCTTTCACAGTGTAGAAGGCATGGCAGCCAGAGCCAGAGGCGGCTGGTTCACATCACATCCACAGTCAGGAAGCAGAGGGATGAATACTGGTGCTCAGCTCACTTTCTCCTTTTTATTTAGTCTGGGCCCCCAGTCCCTGGGGTAGAGCCCCAACATCAGGGTGGAGCCTCCCTCAGTTAAACCTCTGGAAGCACTCTCGAAGACCTTCAAGGTCAGCCATCCCCCCCAACACCCCACACCGTTCTTGGGTGTGAAACATCCGATCTGCACTTCTCATCAACTATCAGGGGTATTTTGTAGAGACTTACTGATTTTCTGTTCATCCTAACTCTTTTCTCTTAAGGAAATGCAAATCCATCCAACACTGCAAGCTCTGCAGCAGGCGTTGAAGATCTTAGGATCGTACAGGTGACAGTTCCAGGTGGGACACTCATTTACTATCATCATTTGTATCAGATTGTTCTGTTCTTTTTTTGTTTTGTTTTGTTTTTGAGACAAGTTTCTCTGTGTAACAGCTTTGGCTGTCCTAGAACTCGGATTTGTAGACCAGGCTGGACTCAAAATCACAGAGATCGGCCTGCCTCTGCCTCTCGAGTGCTGGGATTAGATATTTTTCTTTTTGTCAAGATTGTTTTCCTTTAAATATGTGTATGTGTGTGTGTCTCGTGTGAGTGCAGTGCCTGTGGAGGCCAGTAGAGGGCACTGGATCCCTTGCAGCTGGAATTGCAGGCAGTTGTGAGCTGCCTTGTGTGGGCGCTGGGAACTGAACTTAGCAAATGAGCCCTCTCAACCACTGAGCCGTCTCTCCTGCCCAGTGTTACAGTCTTCATTCTGTCTTAGCGATTTTCTGATGTGTGTTAGTCTCATGGTGCGGTGTTCCTCCTGGTTCACTGTAACTAGAGTGAGAATTTGTGAGCATCTAACACCCTGCAGGAATCACACATCAAATCTGTATAGCTTCTCCTAGCCAAGCCCAGGTTCTACTGGAAAATCCATTCTTACAGTCAGCTTCACACTCCCAGGAAGTCAGAATTGGCTCAAGAGGTGCTGTGTATTTACTTCTGGTCACGTGAATCATCTTTTCTCCATGTGTGTCTAAGCTCCTCCTGGAAACTGGGGGAGCAGTCTAGCTACATGGTTACTCCAAAGTAGGAAACTGGGCTTGTGGGGGCAGGGGGCATCTAGTTATATTTAATTTACTTTGTGTGTGTGTGTGTGTGTGTGTGTGTGTGTGTGTGTGTGTGTGTGTGTGTTTGATAGAGTATGTTAGTGAAGGTGTGGAGGTCAGAGGGCAACTTGTAGGAGTTGATTTCCCCTTCCGCCATGTAGGCCCTGGGGATTGAACTCAAGTTATCAGGATGAGGGGCAAGTATCTTTACACACTGAGCCATCCTTCTGGCTCTAAAGTAAGTGTGTGGGTGTGGGTGTGTGTATGTATACATACTTTTTATTTTATGTGTAGTGTGTGGGCCTGAGTGTGTGTGTGTGTGTGTGTGTGTGTGTGTGTGTGTGTGTGTGTGTGTAGTACATGGATGTAAGAGTCCATGGAAGTTAGATCAGGATATCAGCTCTCCTGGAACTGGAGTCACAGGAGGTTCAGAGCCACCATGTGGATGCTGGAAACTAAACCTGGGTCTTCTGCAAGAGCAGTAAGCACTCTGAACCCCTGAGCCCTCTCTCTAGCCCTATTGCCAGAATTGTTTTAATGAACAGTTTTATACTTCTTGAATCTTGAGCACGCAATTGTTTTAGTTACTCAAAGGTAAAATTAGGGCTGATGAGCTCTCTCAGCAGGTAAAAGCACTTACCACCAAGCCTCTGACTATTTAAGTTCTTCCCCAGGACCCACAAGATAGGAGAAATCCTCTGCTCTCCACATGACCCCCTGCCCAAAAATTAGTGAAAATCAGAAGTTTTGAGTATTTTGTTTATTTACTTATTGGCTTTTGTTTGTTTGTTTTGTTGTTGTTTTTTAGACAAGATTTCATTGTATTGTGTAGCCCTGGCTGTCCTGGAGCTCACTATGTAGACTAGGCTGGCCTCAAACTCACAGAGATCTGTCTGCCTTCCAAGTGCTGGGATTAAAGGCATGTGCCACCACACCTGGCTTATTTATTAGCTTTTTTTTTTAAAAAAAAGTATTTTATTGATCCAGGACAGGCACCAAAACTACACAGAGAAACCCTGTCTCGAAAAACCAACCCCCCCCCAAAAAAAGTATTTTATTTATTTATTTATTTTTCTTTTTGCAACAGGGTCACTCATGTAAGCCAAGCTAATCTTGAACTCAGAGTGGTCCACCTGCCTCTGCCTCCTGAGTTTTGAGATTAAAGGCATGATAGCTACCACACCTGGCATTAAATTGTATTTATTTTTAATTTGTCTGTATTTGTTTTCTGTGTATGAGTTTCGCCTGTGTATATGTATGTGCACCATGTGCGTGCCTACCGTCCTTGGAGTTCAGATGAGGATAAGAATGGATGTGACCTGCCCTGTGGGTGCTGGGAAAGGAACCCAGTCCTCTGCAAGAGCAACAAGTGCTCTTAGCAGCTGAGTCTTCTCTCTGGCCATTCCCTGACCCACTTCTACCCACCACCTTTCTAAAATTTATTCATTTTTTTTCTTTTTTTTATGTTTTGGTTTTTCTTTTTTTTTTTTTTTAATAGAACAATAAACACCTTTATTACATGAGCTATGAATGATGGTTTATTTGCCTTTCCGGGCTTTGATCTTTCTCAGATAGAACTCCCAGCTCCTTGCCTTCTAGCACATAGCCATCTGCTCGGCCACACTGGCCTGGTCTTGAGGCAATACAGGCAAGAAGTTTGCCCTGCTGGAACTGCTCCTCCAGAAGACTGATGATTTTTGGCGTTCTTTTTCCTTTCATCATACTTTTGGATTTTCTTTGATTGTTTTTTGTTTAATATTTCGTCCTCCTCAGGAGTCAGCTTGGCCCCCTTCTTGCGGCCCAGGTGCAGTGAGTGCATAGTGAGACTCATACCACTGTCGGTACGGTGTGCTGTCAATAAGCACAATGCAGTTCTTCACCAGGGTTGTGGTGCAGACCAGCTTATTATTGGATGCATTGTAGACAACATCAATGATCCTTGTTTTGCGAGTATAACACTCAGACCCCCAGGAAAAGTTCCCCACATCCAATCTTAGGGCACGGTACTTCTTATTGCCTCCTCGGACTCGGAATGTGTGTATACGACGAGGGCCAATCTTCATGTTGACAGCAGGCCATCCCAGCGCATACTTGTGCTTCTTGTGCTTGGGCTTTCTCTTACCCTGGGTCTTGTGGCACTTGTGCCAGTTGTCTCGAGAGATACCCATCGCTCGGCGCTGGCTGGAAAGAGTATGTTTTGGTTTTTCAAGACAGGGTTTCTCTGTGTAGCCCTGGCTGTCCTGGAACTCACTCTGTAGACCAGGCTGGCCTTGAACTCACAGAGATCTGCCTGCCTCTGGCTCCCAAGTGCTGGGATTAAAGGTGTGCCCCGACACCAATCTTTTTTTTTTAATTTATTTTTTCTATTATCAGCTTGATACAGTATAAATTCTTATCCTACTAGTGATAATGAAATGTTTAATTGAGACTTGCTCAGTAATTGAGTAAAACCAAAACTTATTATAAGCCACAGTCATCCTAGGGTCCCCCTTGCTATGCAGCCTCCCTGGATCTGTGGGTTGCAGTCTGATTGTTCTTTGCTTTATATCTAGTATCCACTTATGAGTGAGTACATACCATGTTTGTCCTTCTGGGTTTGGGTTACCTCACTCAGGATGATAATTTCTTGTTCCATCCATTTGCCTGCAAATTTCATGCTGTCATTGTTTTTCTCTGCTGAGTAGTACTCCATGTGTAGATGTACCACATTTTCTTAATCCATTCTTCAGTTGATGGGCATCTAGGTTGTTTCCAGGTTCTGGCTATTACGAATAGTGCTGCTATGAACATAGTTGAGCATGTATCTTTGTAGTATGATTGAGCATTCCTTGAGTATATGCCCAAGAGTGGTATGGCTGGGTCTTGAGGTAAATCAATTTCCAATTTTCTGAGAAACCGCCATACTGATTTCCACAGTGGTTGTACAAGTTTGCATTCCCACCAACAGTGGAGGAGTGTTCCCTTTGCTCCACATCCTCTCCAACATAGACTGTCATTAGTGTTTTTGATCATAGCCATTCTGACAGGTGTAAGGTGGTATCTCAGAGTCGTTTTGATTTGCATTTCTCTGATGACTAAGGATGTTGAGCATTTCCTTAAATGTCTTTCAGCCATTTGAGATTCTTCTTTTGAGAATTCTCTGTTTAGCTCTTCAGCCCATTTTTTAATTGAATTGTTCAGTATTTTGATGTCTAGTTTCTTGAGTTCTTTATATACTTTGGAGATCAGTCCTCTGTTAGATGTGGGGTTGGTGAAAGTCTTTTCCCATTCTGTAGGCTGTCTTTTGGTCTTATTGACCGTGTCCTTTGCCCTACAAAAAGCTTCTCAGTTTCAAGAGGTCCCATTTATTAATTGTTGTGCTCAGTGTCTGTGCTGCTGGTGTTATATTTAGGAAGTGATCTCCTGTGCCAATGCATTCAAGAGTACTTCCTACTTTCTCTTCTATTAAGTTTAGTGTAACTGGATTCATGTTGAGGTCTTTGATCCACTTGGACTTGAGTTTTGTGCATGGTGACAGATATGGATCTATTTGTAATCTTTTACATATTGACATCCAGTTATGCCAACACCATTTGTTGAAGATACCTTCTTTTTTCCATTGTATAGTTTTGGCTTCTTTGTCAAAAATCAGGTGTTCATATGTGTGTGGATTAATGTCAGGGTCTTCAATTCGATTCCATTGGTCTGTATGTCTGTTTTTATGCCAGTACCAAGCTGTTTTTATTACTGTAGCTCTATAGTAGAGCTGGAGGTCAGGGATGGTGATGCCTCCAGAGGTTGTTTTATCATACAGGATTCTTTTAGCTATTCTGGGTCTTTTGTTTTTCCATATGAAGTTGAGAATTTTTCTTTCCAAGTCTGTGAAGAATTGTGTTGGGATTTTGATGGGGATTGCATTGAATCTGTATATTGCTTTTGGTAAGATTGCCATTTTTACTATGTTAATCCTATCTATCCATGAGCATGGGAGATCCTTCCATTTTCTGATATCTTGTAGCTGGAGAATTTTTCTCTAGCTCCCACTGCCAGGTCCCGCCAGTCCCGGAGCCCACTTATAAAATAAACACACAGACTCTTACATTATTTAAACTGCTTGGCCATTAGCTCAGGCCTATCATTGTCTAGCTCTCACTCTTATATTCAGCCCATTTTTATTAATCTTTACTTTGTCACATGGCTCGTGGCTTACCGGTACTTTACATCTTCCTTGTCTTGGCAGTGGCTCCTGCCGGTCTCTCTTTCCTTCCTCCTTCCTCAATTCTCCTCTCTCCTTGTCCCGCCTATACTTCCTGCCTGGTCACTGGCCAATCAGTGCTTTATTTATATAGAGCGATATCCATAGCACTTCCCCTTTTTTTCTTTTTCAAAAAGGAAGGTTTTAACTTTAACATAGTAATATTACATATAACAAAATAATTATCAAGTAAGAATTATAGTTACAATATAAAAGAAGATATCCTATCTATCTTATATTTGTGAGTTTAAGGTTTTATATCTAACTTATCTTTTATCATAACTAAGGAAAATTGTAAGTATCTAGTCTTTAACCACATCAAAGACCTCAGAAGGATATAATACTACTTGAGAAATGGGAGAAGGATGCAAGCAACTTTTGGGAGTCTTGTAGGGTAGACAGAGACAGCTGACAGCCTGGACAGTCATTCAAAGTTTTCTTGTAAAGTTGGGGCATCTGTCTTCAGCTCACAGGCCTAGAGTCTCTTATTCACTTTTTTTCTGTGTCCTGTAGAATGTCTGGCAGTTTCCTCTGCAAAGCAGGAACCTGAAGGACCATTTTGTCAAGCAAAGTTCAGTGGTCACCTTTCTATGGGTCCTGTATGTCTAGTTGATCAAGCAGTCCAGGCAAGAAAAGTTTCTTGCCCAAATGGCTATTTTTGTCAAGGTGAAGATAAACTCCATATCGAGTGTCTTCAATGCCCATCCTCCTCTCTGAAGTAAATCGGTGCTGCCAGGAGCAGACATGTCTCACTGTCCAGAAAGTCTAAATTTTTAAAACCTTTTAAATGCCATATTCTGTAGGTCTTTGAAGTGTTTGAAAACTACCTATCTATCTGAAATATATCTATGTATACCTAGAAGACTTAACTAACATGGCTACAAATATGATTATCATAGATGACTAACTATTAATCTATTTTTTAATTATCCATTATAATTTTAAATGAGTTACATAAACATAATACCTCAAACAAGAATAGAAATATATATACAGTATAACAAAATTAAGTTTAAATTTGTATCAATAAACTAAAATCTATAGCAATGTAAAACATTTTAAACAAGTTGTTACTCTTTAAAAGTAGGTTCATTAATCTACCCTTTCATCCTATCATATCTAAACTATCCCCTTTTTTTCTTTAGAAAGAGATTGTATTTATAATCAACCTGATTTAAATAAAAATACTGGTTTTTCTCTGTCCCACATCAGAGGGCTCTTCTGATTTGGGACACAAGAATCTCTTAACCATTTTTTTTTAAGCAATATGTCTGGGTTTAGAGGGGGAGTAAGCCAATTCCATCTCTAAAGCCAGCTTGGTATATTTGGGAATTTGGGCGTAGCTTCTCTTACTACTTCCTGCTGGAGGGGGGCACTGTATCTTATGGGGACACGAAGAAAATTTTAGGATTATGGAGTAGTCCATGAGGGTGTATCATCTGAGCCAGTTGCCTGAAACCATTTTGGATGTTGGATCATCTGGGCCATGGTGTCACTGGAGACCTTTCAGGGGGTCTTGGCTGGTCAAACCTGATGTATCTTAATCTGGAACAAATCCATAGCCTCTGGCTTTCTGTGGAAACAAAAGCAGAGCCTCCTTTCCAAAGCAACATATCCTTACATCCAAATTTTGAAGTCAAAGTACCTTTAAAATATACATTTTGGCATAACTCAACAGCTTTTGTAATCAAATGTTTTTCATCAGTTACGAATATCAAAGAGAACATAATCCAGATTCTCTTTGTGGTAGCCATCTTTACGTGGCTTATTTTTTATATTACCTTGAACCTATTGCTTTAAACTGCACCATTCTAAGACTGAAACGGTGCTGTGGCTGCTGAATCCGCCCACCTCAGCTTCCCAACATGGCCGTGATACGTTTACCACCAGCTCTGGGAGCTTTCGTGGATCTATGCGTCTATCAAAGCATCATGTAGCCCAGAAACCTCCTTTTTTGTTTTGTACTAGCAAAGGCTAAATCCACCACGCAGCTTAATGTGCCACTTGCAGAGGCCTCGTTCCCGCCATATTGCAGGTCGAGCATGCACACCAGGAACCCGCAATAGTAGCTCAAACACGCAGGCTGCCGCTAGCTTGAAAGAGACAACTAGGAGCTGTTTTTAGCTCCGTTTTAGAATCTTTTTACTCAGGTTTTAGGTGGAAACTCTTGCCAACACGTTGGACGCCATTTGTAGCTGGAGAATTTTTCTCCAGCTCCCACTGTCAAGTCCCGCCAGTCCCGGAGCCCACTTATAAAATAAACGCACAGGCCAGGCGGTGGTGGTGCGCGCCTTTAATCCCAGCACTCGGGAGGCAGAGCCAGGCGGATCTCTGTGAGTTTGAGGCCAGCCTGGGCTACCAAGTGAGTTCCAGGAAAGGCGCAAAGCTACACAGAGAAACCCTGTCTTGAAAAACAAAAACAAAAATAAAATAAAATAAATAAATAAACACACAGACTCTTACATTATTTAAACTGCTTGGCCATTAGCTCAGGCCTATCATTGTCTAGCTCTCACTCTTATATTCAGCCCATTTTTATTAATCTTTACTTTGCCACGTGGCTCGTGGCTTACCGGTACTTTACATCTTCCTTGTCTTGGCAGTGGCTCCAGCTGGTCTCTCTTTCCTTCCTCCTTCCTCAATTCTCCTCTCTCCTTGTCCCGCCTATACTTCCTGGTCACTGGCCAATCAGTGCTTTATTTATATAGAGCGATATCCACAGCAATATCTTTTTAAGAATTTAAAAATTTTTTTAAAAATAAGAGTCAGGGATGGTGGGGCATACCTTTAATCCCATTACTCAGAAGGCAGAGGCAGTCAAATCTCAATTCAAGGCCAGCCTAGTCTACAGAGTTCTAGGACAGCGATGGCTACTGAGAGAAACCCTGTCTGGGGGGGAAAAAAAACCAACAAAATAAATGTTGAAGTGTTGGAAATAGTCCCTTCTAGTTCTAGCATCATTTCTTCTTCTTTTCTTGTCGTGTTGCGTGGGCTGAGGTTTGTGCTACACACAGCGTTGAAGGCAGTGGTCTCCTGCAGCATTGAAGATGCTCCGAGAAGTAGCAGCAGCAGGGCCTGGAGACAGCTCAGGGCCGAGAGGGAGTACCGCTCTTGCAGAGGACCTGGGTTTGGTTCCCATCCCACATCTGCTGTCACCCACTTCTAGTTTTGGGGGATCCCACACCCTCCCCATTTATGAACACACATATGAACACCTGATTTTTGACAAAGAAGCCAAAACTATACAATGGAAAAAAGAAGGTATCTTCAACAAATGGTGCTGGCATAACTGGATGTCAATATGTAAAAGATTACAAATAGATCCATATCTGTCACCATGCACAAAACTCAAGTTCAAGTGGATCAAAGACCTCAACATAAATCCAGTTACACTAAACTTAATAGAAGAGAAAGTAGGAAGTACTCTTGAATGCATTGGCACAGGAGATCACTTCCTAAATATAACACCAGCAGCACAGACACTGAGCACAACAATTAATAAATGGGACCTCTCAAACGGCTCCCGCATGCATGCGGCACACACATAAACACAAATAAATTCTTTAAAGTAATATGGGCTATGTTTCTATAGGGTTGTCATTGGGAAAACTATCATCTGTAACAGCTTCCATTTTGTGCATTTCCCAAATGCTTAGTTATTGTGCTCAGATAACCAAATGACAAGAAGGGTGTCTTAGTTAGGGTTTCTGTAGCTATGAAGAGACACCGTGACCACAGCAACTCTTACAAAGGAAAACATTTAATTGGGGCCAGCTTACAGGTTTAGAGATTTAGTCCATTATCATCACAGCACAGTGCAGGCAGACATGGTGCTGGAGAAGTTGCTCAGAGTCCTACATCTTGATCCACAGGCAGCAGAAGGAGAGAGACTGTGTACCACACTAGGTATAGCTTGAGCATAGGAGACCTCAAAGCCCACACTTCCTTCAACAAGGCCACACCTCCTCATAGTGCTACTCCCTGCAGGCCAAGCATTCAAACACATGAGTGTCTGGGGCCCATACCTATTCAAACCACCACAGCAGGTAAAGTGCCAACAAGCATTTCTGCTAATATCTGTCTTGGAGGAAAAAAAAATGTATGAATGAACCTGGTTTGTTTCTCCAAATTCTTTGTAGATAATGAGAAGGAGAAACTGTCAGGCATTGAGAAAATTAAACAGCTTCGAGAGCAAGTGAACTACCTCTTCAGCAAAAAATTTGGTAAGCTTCTGTCTTGTTATATACCCCAAATGTATGTATTTGTTAAAGTGTGTGTGTGTGTGTGTGTGTGTGTGTGTGTGTGTGTGTGTGTGTGTGTGTGTTGGGGGGCGGTTTTGTGTGTGTGTGTGTGTGTGTGTGTGTGTGTGTGTGTGTGTGTGTGTGTACATGTGAGTGCAATGTCCTTGGAGGCCAGAAGAGGGCGTCAGATCCCTTGGAACTGGAGTTACAGGCAGTTGCAAACCACCGGACATAGGTGATGGGAATCAGACTCCATCTTTTGGAAGAGCAGCAAGTGCTCTTAACTGCTGAGTCATCTTTCCAGTTCTGTACTCTCCAAATTTATAAACTTTACCTCCTCCACCACGTTTTGAAGTACTGAACATTGAAAGTACTCTAGTCCTGTTCGAATCTCTAGCCAAAATACCTTTTCTTTTTACTTACTTATTTTTGAGACAGGATATGGCTATCTAGCCTAGGCTGGTCTTGAATTCAGTCAAGACATTCTTGCATCAGCCTTGAAAAGTACCAGAAGTACAGGCCTGTGCCATTACAGGTATTTCTAAAGTCTCCGCGGAGTAAGCAGTCCCTGAATTTATGTTCTTCCTGTTTTAGCCTCCTGAGTAGCTGGGATTCTAGGCCTGTGTCACTAGGCTCAGCTGAGTCACTGCTGGGTTTGGAGACAGCATGTCACTATGTTACCCCAGTTGACTTCCAACACTTAGACTCTGGGGATCTTACCCCCAACTACTCAAGTCGCAGCGATTATGTGTGTGTGCCTGTTGGAGCCCATTAGGTTTCCTAGTGGCTTTACCCTGCAGGTCTGCATAAAGAGGATAATTGGACCATGGGCCGGGGTACCAGGTGTCTGAGATGGTCTGCACTTGGCTGTGCTGAGGGGAGGGTCTTTTGCTCCACCCCTTGGCATTCCTTTAAAAACCCTAGGGCAAACCGAGCAGTGGTGGCGCACGTCTTTAATCCCAGCATTCGGGAGGCAGAGCCAGGCGGATCTCTGTGAGTTCGAGGCCAGCCTGGGCTACCAAGTGAGTTCCAGGAAAGGCGCAAAGCTACACAGAGAAACCCTGTCTCGAAAAAAAAAAAAAAAAAAAAAAAAAAAAAAAACCCTAGGGCAGAGCCAGATGGTGGTGGTGCATGCGTTTAATCCCAGCACTCAGGAGGCAGAGCCAGATGGATCTCTGTGAGTTTGAGGCCAGCCTGGTCTACAGTGTGAGATCCAGGACAGGCACCAAAACTACATGGAGAAACCCTGTCTCAAAAAATAAAAAATAAAAATCTAAAAATAAAAACCCTAGGGCAGAGATAATCATGGCCCGATGGATTAGGATCCAGGCCCTCCCGAGGCTATCCTGTTTTTTCTATCTGTTTCTCTCTCCTCTTTACTTCTATCTAATATTTCCTGCTGCTCCTGCTCAAGAGTATTCTGGAGAAATGTGGGGGTGGCATGGCCCCCCACATGTGCCTCCAGGTCCAGCTCAAATCTTGACATTAAAGACATGTAATCCAAGTACGTGGGAGGCTGAGGCAGGAGGATTGCTATGAATTCAAGTCCAGCCTGAGCTACCATAGACCCTGACTCAAAAAAGCAGTTTTGGAAGCCACAAATTCATCCAGTTTACACTCCATCTTTCATCACAGGGGAGGCCATAGGTGTGGACTTCCCTGTGAAGGTTCCCTACAGGAAAATCACCTTCAACCCGGGCTGCGTGGTGATCGACGGCATGCCCCCAGGGGTGGTGTTCAAAGCTCCCGGGTACCTGGAGATCAGCTCCATGAGGAGGATCCTGGATGCTGCGGATTTCATCAAGTTCACTGTCATTAGGTGAGCGTGTCCCAGCTCCACGGGAGACTGAAGCTGGAGATGGGCAGCTGCCGAGTGGACAGCTCAGGAACTCGCCGGGGAGGCAAGCTGGGCGGGAAGGAGCCGCACTTCATTTGAGAGTCAAGATGTCCCAAGGCATTTCCTTCTCTTCAGCTTTGGTGGCTGTGTCTCTAGTCCAGTCCCCTTTATTAATTTTTTATTACCATTATTTATGAGGGACTTTGTCATGGCATGTGTGTGAGGACAACTTGTGGAGGTCAGTTCTTCCCTTCCCCCATGTGGGCCCTTAGATTGAACTCAGTCAGGTCTCAGGTTTGACAGCCAGCATCTCCCTGAGCATTGTGGGTAACGAGCACCCTCAGCCTGGCTTCCGTCTTTGCCCAGCATTGTGTTGACACCGCCGGGTAGCTGGGCAGAATGAAAACAAGCTCTCCCTCTTTCTCCTGTGTCTCCCCGCAGACCACTCCCTGGACTTGAACTTAGTAATGGTGAGTACTCTATGAAGTCAGAACACTGCAGGACACGGTGCTCCGTGGAGTGCCTTGGTGGGCACTTAGGACAGAGTCTGCAGCCTGGAGCCTTCCAGTAAAGCACAGGCCTTTCAAGTGTGCTTGTTTTGAGGCGGGGCTTATGTCAAAGCCAGGGCTTCATGCAGAGTAGGAAAGCACTCTATGTTTTCCTTCTTTCTTTTTTTTTTAAGACAGGGCTTCTCTGTGTAGCCCTGGCTGTCCTGGAACTCACTCTGTAAACGGTAGACAGGCTGGCCTCAAACTCACTGAGATCCACCTGCCTCTGCCTCCCAAGTGCTAGAATTAAAGGCGTGCGCCGCCGCCGCCGCCGCCGCCACCACCACCACCCGGCTACCCAACTACATTTTCTTTCCTTTTTTTTCCTTTCTTTTTTTTTTTTTTTTTTGAGATTTATTTATTTATTATGTATATGGCATTCTGCCTCCATGTATGCCTGAACGCCAGAAGAGGGCACCAGATCTCATTATAGATGACTGAGCTATCTGTCCAGCACCCCCCACCCCCCGCTCCACCAACTACATTTTCTTAAGATAAATCTTCATATTTGTGTTACCTTTGTAGTGGCTTCAAACACCAACACATAGAGCCAGGTCTGCTGGCCTACATCTAATCTATAATGTCGGCACTAGGGAGGTTGATCCAGGAGGATTAACTGTATGAGTTCTAGGCTAGCCTGGTCTACAGAGTGAGACCATGTCTCAAAAAGCCGAAACAAACTCAAACCCCACCAACACATGCACACTTAACCACACTACTCAACAGGAGGTAGGTGGGGGTCTGAGTCTACCCTGGGTCTTTTGAGATCTACAGCAGGTTAAGTCATATATCTCCTCTGCTTTAATATTCCTAATCTCTCTTGGAAGTTAGGCAAGGTGGCACACACTTGCGATCCCAGCACTCAGGAAACTGAAGCAGGAGTCCTGCTAGGAGTTCAAGGCCAGCCTGAGCTACAGAGTAAGGCAGTCTCTCAAAAAAGCATGAGAGAGAGCCAGGTGTTGTGGCTCAGGCCTTTAGTCCCAGCACTCAGGAGGCAGAGACAGGCGGATCTCTGTGAGTTTGAAGCCAGCCTGGTCTACAGAGTGAGTTCCAGGACAGCCAGGGCTATGTAGAAAGACCCAGAGAGAGGCTGGCCATGGTGGCACATGCCTATAATCTCACATTTAGGAAGTGGAGGAGGCAGGAGGATCCAAATTCAAGGTCGGCTAGCTAGTGAGTTTGAGGCCAGCTGAGGAGGTATCAGGAGAGCCTCTCTGAAAAATAAAATAAGACAGGGTAAGGGCTAGGGAGTTGCAAAATCACCATTCCGTGTCTCTGTAAAGTGGGAAAGCGGAAGATAGACCAGGAGGGCCGAGTGTTTCAAGAAAAGTGGGAGCGAGCCTATTTCTTCGTGGAGGTGCAGAACATCCCCACGTGTCTGATCTGCAAGCAAAGCATGTCGGTGTCCAAGGAATACAACCTGCGCCGTCATTACCAGACCAACCACAGCCGGCACTATGACCAGTACTCGGGGCCGGCGCGGGACGAGAAGCTCCGAGAACTGAAAAGGGGACTGCGGAAGTACCTCGTGGGGTCCTCGGACATCGCGTGCCCCGAGCAAGCATTCTCCAACGCAAGTCCACCCGTGAACACCGTGACGCAGCCCGTGGAAGACCTGACTGTGAACTTACGGAAGAAGTTACGACAGAAAATCCAGTCGTTTGTGGCGTACTCCATTGCCATCGACGAGATTACGGATATCAACGACACCACCCAGCTGGCCATCTTCATCCGTGGCGTCGATGACAACTTTGACGTGTCCGAGGAGCTTTTGGACACTGTGCCCATGACAGGCGCCCAATCCGGGAACGAGATATTCCTGCACGTAGAAAAGAGTCTCAAGAAATTTAGCATTGAGTGGTCCAAGCTGGTGAGCGTGGCCTCCACTGGCACCCCGGCCATGGTGGACGCCCATAGTGGGCTGGTGACGAAGCTCAGAGCCAGGGTGGCCTCATGTTGCAAGGGAGCCGACCTCAAGTCCGTGCGCTGTATCATTCACCCCGAGTGGCTGTGCGCCCAGAAGTTAAGGATGGGCCACGTCATGGACGTGGTGGTGGACTCGGTGAATAGCATCTGCTCCCGTGGCTTGAACCACGGTGACTTCACGACGCTGCTCTACGAGCTGGACACCCAGTACGGTAGCCTGCTGTACCACACGGCGCTCAAGTGGCTGGGCCGGGGGCTGGTTCTCAGGAGGTTCTTCGAATCCCTGGAGGAAATCGACTTGTTCATGTCTTCCCGGGGCAAACCCATGCCCCAGCTCAGCTCCCGGGACTGGATCCTGGACTTGGCCTTCCTAGTGGACATGACGACGCACCTCAACACCCTGGACGCCTCCCTGCAAGGCCATTCGCAGATCGTGACACAGATGTACGACTTCATCCGGGCCTTCCTGGCAAAACTGTGCCTCTGGGAGACGCACCTGGCCAGAAACAACCTGGCCCACTTCCCCACCCTGAAATCGGTTTCCCGGAGCGAGAGCGACGGCCTCAACTACATCCCCAAGATCCTGGAACTGAAGGCTGAGTTCCAGAAGCGGCTGTCAGATTTCAAGGACTGGGAAAACGAGCTCACCCTCTTCAGCTCCCCCTTCTCCACCAAGATTGACAGCGTGCGCGAGGAGCTCCAGATGGAGGTGATCGACCTCCAGTGCAACACGGTGCTAAGGACCAAGTACGACAAGGTGGGCGTCCCGGACTTCTACAAGCACCTCTGGAGCAGCTACCCCAGATACAGGAGCCACTGTGCCAAGATGCTGTCCATGTTCAGCAGCACCCACATCTGCGAGCAGCTCTTCTCCATCATGAAGCTGAGCAAGAAGGAGGCGCAGTGGGGCTCGGTGCTCCAGGCAGCAACGTGAGGGAGAAGGCGGCTGGAGCCTGAAGCCCCAGTACTGGGAAGGCCGAGGCAGGAGGATCTGAGCTTGAGTTTGAGGTCAGCCTGGGCTCCGTATCGGTATCAAGACCCCAGAGAAAGTGCTGGAAGAGAAAGGGAAGAAATGGAAATTGTGTGGAGACCTAGAATGTTCCAGTCCTAAAAGGTTGTGAGATGAGAATGGCAGACTATTAAACCTCTTGGTTTAATAAAAGAAGAGTCCTACTTGGGATCCTAATTTGCATATCACACCTGTTTGGATGACGTTTGACACCTGGCTATAGGTCAGTAAAACCCATAGCGGGTATTTCCAGTGTTTGGTGCCCCTTGTTCCTGACTGACCTGTGTTGTTCATAATGCAGTCTTCAATAAAACCACTGTGAAAGATTTGTGTGTGTGCGCGCGCGTGCGTGTGTGTGCGTGCATGTGTGTGTGTGTGTTGAGGGGTGTACGTACATACAGATGTCTCCCCATTTTACCAACTTGTGGCCTGTGGTCTACAAACCTCCTGAATTTAAGGACAATCATCTGGAGATACTGTCCTGTATTCTACAATTCCTGAGCTGTGTGCCTGGAGCTAGACCTGTCAGGAGTGAGTTAGAAAATGAGAGTAACTAACACAGGGTTTAACAGGTAAGTTGAGACTTAAAGGCTGCCATCTCCTTCCTCTTCCCTCCTCTTCCTCACTCTTCCTCTTCCTCACTCTTCCTCCATCCTTTCTCTGCCCTTCTCCCTCCTCCTCCTCGATAGAATTTTATTATGCAGACCAGGCTGACCTAGCCTTAGCCTTAAAAGATCTGGGATTATAAACTGGGTGGTGGTGGCGCACGCCTTTAATCCCAGCACTCGGGAGGCAGAGCCAAGCGGATCTCTGAGTTTGAGGCCAGCCTGGGCTACAGAGTGAGATCCAGGATAGGCACCAAAACTACACAGAGAAACCCTGTCTCGGGGGGGGAGGGGGGCGGGGGGGGCGGGGGAGAGATCTGGGATTACAGGAACGCTCCATGACGTCTGCTCCAGAATCCTTTACCCTGGAATGTGACCTGGGACTGTGGGGGCTGACGAGCACTACCACTGTGGGAGAGGATGGACTATGTGGGGGTGTTCTTCAGTAACCATGGCAATGAGATGTCTGTGGAGTTGTATGGCCAGATAAATGGGGAGGAAACTGGCCTGGAGGCTGGTTCTTGATGTGCTGCTATTTCTTGAGACCAGGCATTGATGTCCATCAGTCAAAGGATGGGGCTTGAAGAGGCCCAGACAAATCCAACTCACAAGGACACACCCACCTAATGAAAGTGAATCCAGTTCACACACCATAAAATGTGGTCCAGCTAGCCAGGCATGGTGGCACACACCTTTAATCCCAGCACTCCGGAGGAAAAGGCGGGTGACTTTTTGAGTTTGAGGCCAGGTTGGTCTACTGAGTGAGTACAGCCAGGGCTACACAGAGAAACCCTGCCGAGAGAGAGAGAGAGAGAGAGAGAGAGAGAGAGAGAGAGAGAGAGAGAGAGAGAGAGAGAGAGAGAAATTGTGGTCCAAAAGACCATAGGCCCAAGCTGGTGAGGTCCTAAATGGCCTCTGCCCCCTCCTTGATGGATTTACCCTAAGGAAACTTCCATTTCCTGGGCTGTGGACTCCTTGTCTCTGGGGAGACCCAGAGATACTAAAGTAGGCCCAGCACGTATGTGCACTCAGGGAGACTGATGGTCAGCAGCCTGCCTGCCTGGCGGCCATGGGCATGCTGTCCTTGCGCTCTCTAAAGCTTCCCTGCACACACAGGCCTTTGTGCTGCCTCCCTGGTCAGCACATGGTAGGAGACACCAAGGCTGTTACAACATCAGCAAGATCAGAAATACAGAAAAACAAATGGGTGTGTATGAGTGTGTGTGTGTGTGTGTGTAGATGGAATTCCAGCACTCACAGATGGAGAAGGTTGATCAGGATTTCATGATCCTCTCCCACCACCTAGGGAATCTGAGGCCAGCCTGACCTATATGAGATCCTGAATCAGCACACACACACACACACACACACACACACACACACACACACACACCTGTCCAAAAGAGGAGACATTTAATCAGAACTTTTGGGAAAAAAAATAAAATGAAATGAAAAATGGTGCACACTTGTAATCCCAGCATTCAGGAGCCTGAGGCAGGAGGATCAAGGACAGATTGGGATTCACAGTGAGACCTATTTTCCAAGAAGAAAAGTGAGGAAAGTATTTCATGTTGTATTTATTTTGGTTTGTATTTTTAAAAAATATTTATATGTATGTGTGTGTACCTGAGTGTGTGTATGTGCAGCACATGTGTGCAAGAGCCCTTGGAAGTCAGAAGAGGGCGTCCGGTACCCTGGAACTGGAGTTGCAGATAGTTGTGAGCTTTGATATGGGTCTTGGGAGCAGAACTCGAAGTCTTCTTTTATTTGTTTGTTTGTTTGTGTTTTTTTTTTTTTTTTTTGTTTTTTCAAGACAGGGTTTCTCTGTGTAGTTTTGGAGCCTGTCCTGGAACTCGCTTTGTAGACCAGGCTGGGCTTGAATCACAGAGATCCACCTGGCTCTGCCTCTGAACTCGAGTCTTCTGCAAGAGCAGTAAGCATTCTTAATTACTGAGCCACCTCTTCAGCCCACTTCTTAAAATCTGTGTGTGTGTGTGTGAGTGAGAGAGAGAGAGATAGCGAGAGGGAGAGGGACTCACTATGTATCACTGGCCAGGCTGGAGCTCTCACCATGTAGACCAGGCTGGCCTCGAACTCACAGAGATCTGCCTGACTCTGCCTCTCTAGTGCTTGGGATAAGGGTGTGCGCCACCACTGGGTTTATGTTGCATTAAACAATTGTGAGCATGAATAAACAAGGGCGGAGCTGGGGCAGGACCTGACTTTTCCAGTTTTGTGTGACAGTGGTCAGTGCCAGGCTTTCTCAGTAGGCAGACTGTGAAATCTCCACCCAGTAGGCTCCAGGAGCTTCCTCAGGTCTCTCAATTCTCTGATGATTGGATTATTCTCCTAAGAATCATCCGTACACTGGTTAGTTTTCACACATCTCTGCAGGAACTAGTGTGATCCATGTTCACTTAGCCACCGGCCAACCATTTGAGACCTCATGACAAAAAAAACAAAACAAAACAAAACAAACAAACAAACAAAAAACATTGGAGGATTAAACTCTAGGCTTCATGTGTGCTAGGCAAGTGCTCTACAGCTGAGGCACACTCCCAGCCTCTCGCTGGGGGATTCTAGGCAGGTGCTCTAACCACTGAGCCACACCCCAGCCCCTCACTGGGGGATTCTAGGCAGGTGCTCTACCACTGAGCCCCTCCCCAGTCCCTCACTGGGGGATTCTAGGCAGGTGCTCTACCACTAAGCCCCTCCCCAGCCCCTCACTGGGGGATTCTAGGCAGGGGCTCTACCACTGAGTCTCATCCCCAGACCCTTATTTTGAAATAGAGTCTCCCTAAGTTGTTCAGGCTGCCTGTGTGGTCCTCCTGTGTCAGCTTCCTCCAGAGCAGTTGAGATGACAGGCTTGCATCACCAGACCCTGGCAAGAATGTTGTCTTTTTTTTTTTTTTTGCAAGATGTGTGGTTTTATTCTGCATCATGGTTTCTGTCTTAGTTAGGGTTTCTATTGCTGCCACAAAACACCATGACCAAAAGCAGGTTGGAAAGGAAAGGGTTTGTTTGGCTTATACTTCCATATCACTGTTCATCATCAAAAGAAGTCAGGGCAGGAACCTGGAGGCAGGAGCTGATGCAGAGGCCATGGAGGGGTGCTGCTGACCGGTGTGTACATGGCTTGCTCAGCCTGTTTTCTTATAGAACCCAGGACCACTAGCCCAGGGATGATGGCCCCACGCACCATGGACTGGGCCCTCCCACATCAATCACTAATTAAGAAAATGCCTTACAGCTTGATTTTTTTCTTTTTTCTTATTTTGTTTTTGTTTTTTGTTTTTTTTTTGTTTTTCAGGACAAGGTTTCTCTCTGTAGTTCTAGCTGTCTTAAAACTTGCTTTGTAGACCAGGCTGGCCTTGAACTCACAGAAATTCACCTCCTTCTGCCTCTCAAGTGCTGGGATTAAAGGCATGTGCCACCACACCCAGCTTTACAGCTGGATCTTATGGAGGCATTTTCTCTTTTTAGAATTTTTTAAATGTGCATTTATTTTTATGTGCATTGGTGCTTTGCCTGCATATATGTCTGTGTAAGGGTGTCAGATCCCCCCAGGAACTAGAGTTACAGACAGGTGTGAGCTGCCATGTGGATGCTGGGAGTTGAACCTGAGTCCTCGGGAAAAGCGGCTCAGCTCTTGAGCGCTGAGCCATCTCTCCAGCCCCATGGAGGCATTTTCTCCACTGAGGTTCCCTCCTTTCAGATAACTCTAGCTTTTGTCAAGCTGATATAAGATTAGCCGGCACTGTTTCTTTGCCTTTGGGGAAGGAACCATTCTCAAGGTCTTAGAACATGAAAGTGGGCACTGTCCACTAAGGGACGGCTGCTTTCTGTCATAACCCCCTAGGACCCTCTATGCCAAGGTTACATTTTGGGGTTCGGCGGTTTGAGACAGGGCCTCACACTGTAGCTCAACACGATCTCAAATTCACTCCATGGCCCAGGCCGACCTTGAACCTAACAGCGCTTCTCTTGCCTCTTGGTTCTGAGTTTACAGACATGAGCCTGAGTTCCTCCCAGATGTTGGACCGCTGACACACCCGATTATGGGGTGCAGGGGATGGAAGCCAGGCCCTGGGTGCATGCTAGTCAAGCACTCTACCAGCTGGGCATTTCCTGTAGGGCAGTGTTCCTCAGCCTTCCTAACGCTGCGACCCTTTAAGAGTTTCTCATGTTGTGGTGACCCCCCAACTATAAAATTATTTTCATTGCTACTTCATAACTGTAATTCTGCTACTGTTATGAATCATAATATACAAATCTGTTTTTTCCCACGGCCTTAGGCGACCCCTGTGTAAAGGTCTTGACCCACAGCTTGAGAACTGCTGTCTCGGGCCATGGTAATGCATTTGGCCTTCTGCAAACTTGCTCTTGGCCAAGACTAAAGCCGCATGCAACCGGACCTTTCTCTGCTCCTGCAAACGCCCCCAGCAAGTCTCATTGTCCCCTCTCATCCTATCAATATCCTTGGAGCAAAGCCCAGTAAAGTCTCCGTCCACTCCAAACAACATTTATTGTGGCAAGGGAGGAACCTCAGACCCCAGGCTATATACAAGTATATACAGGGATAGGGATGGGACGCCTTCTGGGCGCCACGCGCCCTCACACAGCAGACGCCAGCTTCCGCTTGGTGCTCTCTGTGCAGCGATGCAGAATGAGGTCTGCGCTGGGTCGTGGTGGCACGGCGGGCTGCGCCTTGGTGTGCTGGGTCCCCATATTGTCTGCAAAGGAAGGTCGGGACCATGAGGCTCCGCCTCCTAGCCCTAAGCTGCACTTACGTTCTAGTCCTGATCTCCCCCTACCTCGTGCCACCTCCACCCCACCCCATCCCGCAACCCCCCCACCCCCGCCGCTCCACCACGCCCCACCCGGACCCCCGTTAGGTCTTGTCCCGCCCCTTGCACCCAGGCCCCTTAGGAGTTAGCCCCGCCCTCCAGCCCTGGCCCCGCCCCCTTCTGGCACTCACTCCTTGCGCCTTCTGCGCTCTGCGGCCCGGGTCGTGCGGGGCGCCGGCGCTGCTGCTGGAATCGGACGCTGTTGCGGCGATAAGTGTCCTGGCTGAGGCGCTTCCGAGAACGCTGGTGGATACTCTGCGCGTTGCGGATGGTCGACCTGGCCCAGCAAGATGGAGATGTCAGCACCCCGGAGTCCCTGTCCCCCGGGACACGGAGTGGACACCCCTGGGACCCCGAGCCTGGCCTGAGGAAAAGTAGAGTGCGGAGAGACGGTGGCACCCTGAAATCCTTAAGTCTGGCCTCAGCCAGTGGGTGCAGAGGGACTGTGGCCCCCCCTCAGGTCCTAAGCCTATATTTAGCAAGTGGGGTGCAGACAGGAGAACCTGCAAGAACTGGGGGTCACGGATCTTACCCTGTCTCAGAGCCCAGGCCTGTTTCCCATGCCCGCTCTGGCCATCAACATGTCCTTACTCTGAGACTGCCCCGGCTTCACTGACCATCCCAAAGCACTCTAAGCATCAGCGGGCTCCTCACTATCTCTGTCCCGGCCTTCCCCTCCATGCCTGCCCATTCGGGGGCCGCTCTCTCACCTGCGCGGCGGTGCCCCGCGGCCTCGGATCTGCCTCTGGGCCTGGGTTATCTCCTCCCCAGCCTTCTGCAGATATATGGATGGGAAGTAGCCGGTGACATCCCCTTTCCTGCAAGATGGGCCACACTGGAGGCTCAGGCAGTAGTCATGAGGGGGGTGTGCACAGAGCTGGAGGGCTTCAGGGTGCCTCAACCATGGGGACCAATGCAGGCTAAGAGATTTCAAACATCCACACCCAAAAGGCCAGACTGTTTCCTCATCTGTAGCAACACAAGCCTCCACCGCCCCCAGCCCTCCCTTCCGAGTCTGGGCAGGGGGAGAAAGTTAGATGTGTATTCTGCCGAGGAGTGTGTTGTGGACACTTTTAAGAGTCCCCATGGTGGCCGAGCAGCGGTCATGCATGCCTTTAATCCCAGCACTTGGGAGGCAGAGCCAGGTGGATCTCTGTGAGTTCAAGGCCAGCCTGGTCTACAGAGCGAGATCCAGGACAGGCACTAAAACTACACAGAGAAACCGTGTCTGGGGTGGGGGGGGAGTGTCCATGTCATTTTCCTTCTTGCTTGCTTTGGTTTTGATTGTTTGATTTCGGAAGGTCCTGGAGAAGAAAACTCCAGAATCACACAGCCAAGTCTGCTCAGAACCCACCCAGGTAGATGCATGCAGGGGGAGGGGCTCTCCTACCTGACCACCCACCAGCCATCCAGGAGCTTATGAATGACCTCGATGGCTTCACCCTCGGACAGGGACATTTCATCCTCTTCCACAGCAGTGTAGGCTTTGATGGTTACATAGGGTTCACCTGGTCCACGGAGGGAGCACCCAGTGAGGTGAGAGTCTACTCAGTTCCCAGGACTCTACTCCCTCCTCCCTAAGTGCTAGGCTTCTTCCAACTGTCCAGCAACCACCACAGACACACAAGTCCCTCCTCTGTCCCCTCAGATCTCTTCCTTCTTGGTTTCCCTCTCTAGGTTTTTAGAGATTTTATTTTAAACGATACAAGGATGGGACCAAGGGTTTGCAACATGCAGTGAAAGAGCTTTACAGCTGAACCATGTTGAACATGCCCTTCACTGGGGGATTCTAGGCAGGTGCTCTCCCACTGAGCCACACCCCAGCTCCTCACTGGGGGATTCTAGGCAGGGGCTCTACCACTGAGCCACACCCCAGCCCCTCACTGGGGGATTCTAGGCAGGTGCTCTCCCACTGAGCCACACCCCAGCCCCTCACTGGGGGATTCTAGGCAGGTGCTCTACCACTGAGCCACACCCCAGCCCCTCACTGGGGAATTCTAGGCAGGTGCTCTACCACTGAGCCACACCCCAGCCCCTCACCAGGGGATTCTAGGCAGGAGCTCTACTACCGGGCTACACTCATAGCGTGTGTGTGTGTGTGTGTGTGTGTGTAGTGTGGGTAGGCACACTGGTTAAGTGTTTTGTCACAAGCTGTCATCTGGGAAGTGGGAACCTCTCTTGAGGTTCCATCAGAATATACCTCCATCAGAATGGGTTGTAGGCAAGTCTATGGGGCGTTTTCTTTATTAATGGTAGATGTGGGAAGACTCAGCCGACTGTGGGCAGTGCCATCCCTGGACAGGTGGCCCTGGATTGTATAAGAAAGCAAAATGAGCAAGCTGATAAGCAGCACTCCTCCACGGCCTCTACTTGAGTTCCTGCCCTGCTTGAGTTCCTGCCCTGACTTCCCTCAGTGATGGACTGTGACCCGTAAGTGTGAGGGAATATAACCTTTACTTCCCCAGCTTGCTTTTGGTCATAGTGATTATCACAGCAATAGGAAGCAAACTAGAGCTGGGTGGTGGTGGCCCATGCCTTTAATCCCAGCACTCAGGAGACAGAGGCAGGCAGACCTCCATATGTTCGAGGCCAGCCTGGTCTACAGAATGAGTTCCAGGACAGCCAGGGCTACACAGAGAAACCCTGTCTCAAAAGAGAAAGAAAGAAAAGAAAAAAGGAAAAAAAAACTAAACACACACACACACACACACACACACACACACACACACACACACACACACTATTTCTGTAGCAGGGTGTCCCTATGTTGCTGACTGGGTCATGCATGCTCTGCAGCCTGCCTATGCAGCCTTAGACTTGAGCTCCTCCTGTCTGAGCTCCTGAGTAGCTGAGGTGACCGGAGTGAGGTGACATGCCCCACCACACCCAGGTGGAATTGCTCAATCTTAAAACATGACCACACAATTCTGCTTTCAAACTCAGTGCAGACCATTCAACCCCCGGAGCTGCCAGCTTCCCCCTTGGGCATCGATGATGACACTACCTCCAGGAAGCCCTCCTTCCCAGCCTCAGTCAGTTCAGCTTTCTGCTCCCCCTCCCTTGTACCGGGCTCCACACTGCTCACAGGGTCCTCACTGTCTCCTCCCTGTCCCTCTCTCTGCCTCCTATTTTTCCTTCTTTTTTTCTTTTTGGTTTTTCGAGACAGGGTTTCTCTGTGTAGCTTTGGTGCCTGTCCTGGATCTCGCTCTGTAGACCAGGCTGGCCTCGAACTCACAGAGATCCGCCTGCCTCTGCCTCCTGGGTGCTGGGATTAAAGGCGCGTGCCACCGCTGCCCGGCGCCTCCTATTTTTCTAACAATATCACCGTCTACCCAGGCCTCCAAGCTAAAAATAATGAAGGAGCACTGGCTTCTTCGTGTCCCCGCACCCCTTCCTCTCCTTCATCCCACACCCCATATTGCCTCAGAGGGCAGGAAGCACCTGCGTAGTCGGGATCCGGGTCCTCTGCCTCATCGGGACTGTCAAGGGGCTCCAGGTAGGATGCGGGGACCCAGCCTCTCTTTGTCTTCATCTGGCAAAACCACCAGCCTATGTCAAGAGCACAGAGAGATAAGTGAGGGGTGGTGCCTGGCAGCCTCCTTCAGCCACAAGGGTGGTGAGGATACAGAGAAGGGGATGCCGAATGCTCATAAATGTCCCCAGACTCCACCCCCGAATCCCACCCCACTAGCAGGAGCTCAGAGTCCTTTGCAACGAGCTGGTAGGACAGCACCCCTAAATGCAATCCAGGCATGGGATAGGCCTGAGCTGGAGGCCAAAGGCCGCTAGATCCTCTGCATGGAATTCAAGGCTCTGTCACCCCAGGACCGGGGGTGGGAGGGGGAGCCCAACCGCTCTCGCTTTTCTCCACCACGTCCACCACATCTCCAGTAGCCACGGTCATCTCCGTGCGTGAATTCTTCTCATAGTCAGCGATGGCACGGTAGGTTTGAAGGATGATGGGGCCTGTGATGTCTGCACAGAGCGGGGACAAGGTGAGTGGACACAGCACGGAGGGCAGTCCCCGTTCCGGAATATGATTTTGTTTTTGTTTTTGTTTTGTTTTTTTGTTTTTCGAGACAGGGTTTCTCTGTGTAGCTTTGCGCCTTTCCTGGAACTCACTTGGTAGCCTAGGCTGGCCTCGAACTCACAGAGATCCGCCTGGCTCTGCCTCCCGAGTGCTGGGATTAAAGGCGTGCGCCACCACCGCCCGGCCCGGAATATGATTTTTAACGGGGCAAGGATGTGTTACGTTTGCTCATGCTGTGGAATATTGCTTTTAACTGTGTAACATTGTAACGCCTAACTGTGTAAAGGCACGTTATGCTGGTTTATGCTGTGTTTGTTTAACGATGTAGGGATGTGTGTTTAACGATGTAAAGATGTGTTGCATCTGTTGCACCTTGCCTGCCTACGGCTCTCGATGGGTCTAATAAGGAGTTGAGCGGCCAATAGCTAGGCAGGTAGGTGGGGCTGGCAGGGAGAGAGAATAAATAGGAGAAATCTAGGCTCGAGAAGAGAAAGAGGAGAAAGGGGAGGAGAGGATGAGGGACCCTCCTCTCACCAGCTACATTACTCTTGGCGTCTTTGGGCATCAGGTATGTCTCTGGCTTCTTCACCCTGGAGAGAGAACAGGCATTATGGAGCAGGCCCTCTGCTTTCCCACTGCGGAAGGGAAGGCTTCGGGTTAGAGCTGCAGGAGGACTTCCCAGAATCAAAAGGAACCACGGGAAAGATGGTCAACACAGAGAGAAGGCATCCACAGTCCCGGCCCTGGGAGTTGGGGGTGGGGCACAGACTGTCTTAGGAATGAGGGGTTGTCTCCGCAGCCAGACTTAGAAACGGGGGCATAGAGGACCCTAGGGAGTTGGCAAAGGCCTTCTCCACCAGCTAGATAGAGATGCTTGGCCTGGGAGGGGTTCCCATCAGCCCTCAGGGAGGGGGCCCTTCTAGGGCCTCCAGCGTACCCCATGGTGACGTGAGTCTGTATAGATGCAGTTTTGGCCAGGTCCCAGGTTTAGAGCATTGTGTGCCTGTGGGTCAGTCCCTCATCCTCTCCGAACTTGGGTCTCCCCACCCTCTGTATTCTGTTCTCCTGTCCCCTCCCCAGGGAGGTGGCTACTCACTGGCTGTCCGTGGGCAGCTTCAGGTCATCAGGCCGAACTTTGAAGAAGTCCAACAGATGTGGGCAGCGGGAGATCTTCACGGGCAATCCCATGAGGGCGTTGAAGTACTCTGTGAGTGTGCCCTGGCGGCTCTCAGCAGCACGCTGCCCATCAAACCATTTGGGTGCTGGGTGGGGGCACCAAAGACCCATGAGTACACACACAAGGTCAATTCCAAAGATGTGGGAAGGCATTTCGAGAGCAGGCGAGGGGCAGGGGACCCTACTGAGGGGCTCAGTTCTGCTCACCCGGGAGGTGTGGGATGACCCTGTTCTCCCTGTGGATCTCACCAGCCTCGATGGGGAACATCTCCTTCAGCATTTTCTAGATAGAGGAAGAAATCCTGAGCTGGGGCTCCGTGGCAGAGTGCTTACCAAGCATGCATGAAGTCTTGGGTTCCACCCTGAGCATTGCATAAGCTGGGTGTGGGGGTGCATTCCTGTCAGCCCAGCACTCAGGAAGTGAGGGGGATCAGAAGTTCAAAGTCATCCTCGGTTGTGTAGTGAGTTTGAGGCCAGCCTAAGATATGTGAGAAAAAGAAGGGGGGGCGGTGCTCCAAAAGATCTAAGTTGGAGCCCTTCAAAACACTCACTGGGAAGGGAAACCATCGGCTCCACACATGCTGCCTGTGCCTTACACACATCTTCCCCCATCTCTCTCTCTCAAAGATTTACTGTTTATTATGTACATAGTATTCTGCCTGCATGTACACCTGCAGGCCAGAAGAGGGCACCAGATCCCATTACAGATGGTTGTGAGCCACCATGTGGTTGCTGAGAACTGAACTCAGGACTTAGAAGAGCAGCCAGTGCTCTTAACCACTGAGCCATCTCTCCAGCCCCCTCCCCCCACATCTCTCTTAGTTTTTTTACATTGTTCGCAGTGCCACCTGTGGACACTCCAGGCTAATCTTGCCCCAGCGTCTAATGAAATATTATGTCTCTCTTTGTCTGTCTGTCTGTCTGTCCTTGTCTCATCTGTTTATGTATTTATTTTTTGAGACAAACAGCCCTGGCTGTCCTGGAACTCACTTTGTAGCCCAGGCTGGCCTCAAACTCAAGAGATCCACCTGCCTCTGCCTCCCGAGTGCTGGGATTAAAGGTGTGTGCTACCACCCACCTCTCGGCCATTTATTTATTTTGAGATAAGGACCCACTTTGTAGCCCTGCCTGGCCCTGGAAGTCACTACGTAGACCAGGCTGGCCTCTTTCGATACATGCTGAGCAAAGGCTGAGCAAAGGTTGAGGCTAGTGCACCCCAACACTCACATGGAACTCGTAGATCTCGGTGAATTTTCTGTAGACCACCTTCTCCGACAGGTCTTGCCACTTAACCAGGAACATGTACACCTGAGGGGACATCAGAGCATGGAGGGGGGGGCGGGGGGGAGGGAGTCAGCACCCAGGAGTACCACGCTGTGCCCCTGGGCTGCCTTTTAGTCTTTTTTTTTTTTTTTTTTTTTTTAAAGATTCATTTATTTATTGATACAGTGTTCTGCCTGCACATATCCCTACAGGCCAGAAGAGGGCACCAGATCTTATTACAGATGGTTGTGAGCCACCATGTGGTTGCTGGGAATTGAACTCAGGACCTTTGGAAGAACAAGCAGTGCTCTTAACCTCTGAGCCATCTCTCCAGCCCCCCTGCCTTTTAGTCTTGAATGGAAGCCAAAGGGGTTGTGGTGAGGCAGTCTTTGGGGGGTAGCCTGGGTCACAGGATGGGCATGAGCTTCAGGGACCCGGGAGCTTTGAGAAGCAGACCAACCAACGTGGTCAACTTCCGGTATGTTAGAAAATTCTTTTTACATTTATTCAGTGCCTGCATGTGTGTGTGTATGTGTGTGTGTGTGTGTGTGTGTGTGTGTACATGTACACATGCATGCCACGGGGTGCAGCTGGAGGTCAGAGGGCAAATTGTGGGAGTCAGTTTTCTTCTTCCACCTGCTGGGTTCTGAGGAGTGAGCTCAGATCATCAGACAAGGTGGCAAGTACCATCAGCTCCTTTCTGTTTTTCTTTTATATATATTATATATAATATATTAATATTATAATTTTATATAATTATATATATTATATATATAGTGTTTGGCCAGCATGTATGTTCATGTATCACATGCATGCAGAATCTATGGGGGTCAGAAGAGGATGTCAAAGCCCCTGGAACAGGAGTTATACCTAGCTGTGAGTCATCATGTGGGTGCAGGGAATGGAGCCCTGATCCTCTGGAAGAGCGGCTAATGTTTGCTCACTTTATTTCCCCCCTCCCTCTTTTTTTTTTTTTCTTGCGAGTGCAGGGGATTGAACCAAGGGCCTCATGTTCGCTGTGCAAGCGCCCTAGCCACAGTCCCCAGCTAGGCTTCGAATGACAGGTGCAGGAAAGCTTGTCCCCACTGTGCTAACAGAGGAGGGACCTTGGAGAACAGATCGGGGTGGGGGAAGACTAGGGCTGGAGAGACGCTCATCAGATAGATGGGAAGTGGAAGACAGTACTGCCAATGCCCCCAGGGTCCCCAGCACCCACACTGGGACTCACAACCATCTGTAACTCCAGTGCCAGTGTATCTGGCGCCCTCTTCTGGCCTCCACGGGCACTGCACATACCTGATTCACAGACACACATGCAGGAGAAATGCACAAATATAAATTTATTTACTTATTTATTTATGAGGCTTAGTGGGAAGTGTTCAGGATGTTGGAGACTACATAAGGACAGAGAGACAGGCTGGGCAACAGAATATGCTGTCTCAAGCAATAATGCTAGCCACAAAAAAAGAAACCGGGAAGGGGGATCTTAAAAACAGTGTGATGCTTGAAAGAAGCCATGAGACAACTATGACAGGTGCGGGGCGGGGGTGGGGGGGACGGGACGGGAGAGACAGAGACAGAGGCAGAGAGAGAGACAGAAACAGAGAGAGAGGGAGAGACAGAGACAGAGGCAGACAGAGAGAGACAGAGGCAGAGACAGAGAGAGGGAGAGGCAGAGATGGACAGACAGAGGCAGAGACAGACAGAGGCACAGACAGGGAGAGACAGAGGCAGAGACAGGGAGAGACAGAGAGAGGGAGAGGCAGAGACAGAGTCAGAGAGGCACATGGGGAGAGAGAGACAGATGGACGCAGAGACAGAGAGAGAGGGGCAGAGAGACAGAGAGATGTCTGCAATCCCAGCATTTGGAAGGCGAAGTGGGAAGTTTGCCCTGAGTTCTGGCTAACCTAAGCTACACTGTGAGACTCTAAACATACCCCGGTGATTGTCTCTGGGGTGGGGGAGGACTGGAGGCTATGAAGGAAACACCTAGAATGACCGCAATGTCCTCTTTTGGTTTCCAGAGTCTCACGCTTATTCTGGAATGACTCAGAATGTTTATATTTAGAGAGGGAGGGCAGAAGGGGGAGACGCACTTAGCACATAACACTTTACATGTCCCACACAAACACCGCCCAAGTACCAGGTGCCCCTCAGAGGCCCAAGGATGAAGTCTATATACACGGGCAGAGATTTCTCCAACTCACCTCCCCCAGGGCAAAGGGGACAGTTTCCCTCCCTCCTGGTGATGTTATCTCCTGGGGAGCTAAACTCTGTGGCCAACGTCATAGAAGACAGACAGACGGCTACAGTCCGCAAGCCTCTCCTTGCAGGGCCTCTCCCTGTGCTGACTGGACAGGGAAGTTTCCTGGGAGGAGCGAGCCTTGCTCCTAAGCACTGGACACGGGGTGGTGGCGCTTGAGCATGGATCGGGGCTCAGTATGGGGACAGAGAGGGAAGCCATTGAGAGGGGTGCACAGGGATGTCGGCCCAGAATGGCAGAGTCCTTTACAGACACCCAGGAAAGAAGCCTGAGGCCCAGAGACAAGAACCCGGTGCCCGAGAGGTACCCCCTTATATCCTTGCCGGAGGGGTCCCACACCCCTTATATCCTCCCCTGGTCCCCCATCCCCCTCATACCCTTCCCTGGTCCAGGTTGCCTTTGGATAGCACCAGGATGACAGCACCATCCCTACCGTGTGCTCCACTCACGCTACTCACATAGTGTTGGCTGGGAACGAAGCGCTTCTCGAAGCCCAGGAGGGCGATGTGGCGGATGAAAGTGTCCCCCATGGCTGGGCAGTGGCAGGGCCACTTCTCCCTACAGCTGGGGCTGAGCCTTAAATACACTGAAAAGAGGAAGTGGTTTCTGTTGCTTGTGGGGTGGGGGCGGGGAGTGCCCCGACACTCTTGCTCAGTCTTTCACTTTCTGGGGATTGTTTGAGCTCCAATGGAGTGGTTGGGGCAGCCGGGGGGTGGGGGGGGTGGGGAGACCACTAACGTGCTGGGGGGTAAGGCCTATCCCCCAGCCCCGGGCACGTGGGCCTCTCTGCAGCTCTGAACCACCACAGGACCTTTGCACCCTCCCTGCCCCCTTCTCCTGTCCTCGTCTCCTGTGTATATCTCTCCGCCTCAAGTTCACTAAGTTTCTACTCAGATGTTTCCCCTTCCGGAGGCCTTTGAATAACCTCACCCAAAACAGCAAGTCTGTCAGGCACGGTGATACATTGTAATCACAGCACTTGGGAAGCTGAGGCAGGAGAATCGGGAGGTAGTTAGTGGCCAGTTTCAGCTGGCTACATGAGATTGTCTTTAAAAATAGGACGGCACTGGGGACATGGCTCAGCTGGTTAAGTCCTTGGCATACAAGCCTGAGGACCTGAGTTTTTTTGTTTTTGTTTTTCCGAATTTGTTTTGTTTTTTCAAGACAGGGTTTCTCTGTGTAGCCCTCGCTGTCCTGAAACTTGCTCTGTAGATTAGGCTGGCCTCGAACTGAACTCAGAGATCCTCCTGCCTCTGGGTGGTACATCACCACCACCCAGAGAGGACCTGAGTTCTATCCCCAGGGCTCACCTTAAAGAAAAGCTGGGTATGGTAGCGTGTGCTTTCCAAGTTTTGTTTTTATTTGTTTTAAGTGTGTGTGTGTGTGTGTGTGTGTGTGTGTGTGTGTGTGTGTGTGTGTGGTGTGTTATGTGAGGGCAGGTTTCTGTGGAGGTCAGAGGCACTGGATCCATTGGAGATGGAGTTACAGGTGGTTGTGAGCCACGGACATGGATGCTCACACAGAACCCAGCTCCTCGGCAAGAGAGGAACTCTTAGCCACAGAACCCTCCCTCTGGCCTGGTGTGCGCTTTGAATCCCAGCACCACGGGGAAGGCAGAGTCAGGAGGAATCCTGGGACTCACTGGCCAGTCAGGCCAGCCTTCCAGGTGAGGTTTCAGTTTTGGACCCTGTCTCAAAAAACAAGGGGATTCTCGAGAAACGACATCTGCACACACATGTAGACACCCACACAAATACCCTCGGAGGTGAAACACCGCCACCTGACCACATAATGGTCCCTCAGAGTTTTTCTCCTCAGGCAGCTGTTTGGAAGGGGGCTTGAGATGAAGAGGAGATGGGAGCCAGGCATGGTGGCAAGTGTCTTTAACCCCAGCACTGGAGGAACTGGGCTCCAATGGAGCCCACCCCATGGAAGAGAGCCTCGCCCTGGCCCTGAGCTGACTTGACAAAGAGGTTTCCTGGGAGGAGTGAGCCTGGATCCGGGGCACTGGTGGGGGCTCTCAGTAGGGAGGGACTCAGTGTGTAGACAGGGAAGCAGCTGGGCAGAGTATACAGGGATGTCTCCCCAGTGTGGCAGGGGCAGGATCTGAGGGTTCCAGGCCAGCCAATATATATATATATATATGTGTGTGTATATATATATATATATATATATGTGTGTGTGTGTGTGTATGTATATATTGAGACCCTGCTTTTAAAGCGGCAAGGATTGAGGGGTGGTACCTACTCTATACTGGGTGGTTCAGAGGCTGCCGGGTCACCCGGGTCACCCGCGGCCTTCTCCAGAAGCAAGCCTTCTGTCTGCAGCCCAGCTGGCCCATGCTGGGCCTCCTTGTCATGACTCTGCAGGGGACTCAGAGAAAGTGGGTAGGGCCGGGTTGTAATGCAGTCTGGGGATTCCAGGATTGCAGGCATGCTGCCTCTGAGCCACGTCCCCAGCCTGTCTGGGGGCGGGGTGATTCAAAAGCAAAGGGCTCTACCACCGAGTTACATCACCAACCCTTCTTGTCATTTGGAGACTAAGCTACCCCGGTTAGCCTCGAACTCTTTTTTTTTTTTTTTGGTTTTTCAAGACAAGGTTTCTCTGTGTAGCTTTGCACCTTTCCTGGAACTCACGCTGTAGACCAGGCTGGCCTCGAACTCACAGAGATCTGCCTGGCTCTGCCTCCTGAGTGCTGGGATTAAAGCCATGCACCACCACCACCTGGCTAGCCTCGAACTCTTAATCTTGCTGTCTCCGTCTCCAGATGAGTGGGAGGGCCTGTGTTAACACACCCAGCACCAATGGTGAGTTTTAGTACAATAAGAAGCCGAGTAGGATAAGGGGTAGATTTCAAGTGGCTGACACACTGGCCAGTTCTCCTCACATGCTAACTCCCTTTGGCCACTGAACTCTGGGACACACTCATCTCTGTCCCAGACTCCATAGTCGGGGAAAGTCCAGCAAAAACACCAGCCCTGCTGTGCACCTGGGCCTGGAGGGAGTAGGCTGTGGAAAGTTCCTGCTGGGGACCTGTGGTGGGCTAAACATCACGTCCCGAGCACTTCCTTCTTGTCTTGTGGGTGCTTGCGTAACTGCAGACAGTGGCCTGACCAGTGGCCTGAGGCCACACACAGCCATCTTCCCACTGCCCTCCTGAGACCTCACCCTGTTCTCTCGTGGCCCCTTGCATGAGAAACAGAGGCAAAGAGTGATTATTATTATTATTTTTAAAGCATTTGACCTTGTAATAACCTCTATAAGCAGGGCCAATGGTTCTTTTTTGTCATAACAAGATATTTATTTTAATGCATGTGAACTATTTCATCTTTTGATCTTTGGAGATGGTCTCATGTAGCCCACGCTAGCCTCCAACTTGAACTCCAGATCATTCTACCTCCTCCTCCTCCTGAGTGTGGGATTAGCAAGTGTTTGCCACCCTCTCAGGCTTTTATATTTTTGAAATTACATTTATTTGGCAAGGCCCAGGTCATGTGCACCAGGATGCATGTATGGTGGTCAGAGGACCATTTACAGGGGTTGTCCTTCCAACACTTAGGACCTGGGGATTAATACCTTCACCCACTGGGCCATCTCCCAGCCCCCATTTTTTTTTAAGCAAATTGAGGATGAGGAGTGTAGCTCAATTGAAAAGAATGTGCCTAGCTGGGCGGTGGTGGCACATGACTTTAATCCCAGCACTCAGGAGGCAGAGGCAGGCGGATCTCTGTGAGTTCGAGGCCAGCCTGGTCTACAGAGTGAGATCCAGGACAGGCACCAAAACTACATGGAGAAACCCTGTCTTGAAAAAAACTGAGAGAAAAAAAAAATGTGCCTAACATGTACCAGGTCGTAGGTTCAAAACCTCCCCCTGAGATGGCTCAGTGGCTGAGTGTATGCTCTTGTCCCAGATACCTACATGGCTGCTTAGCCACATTGTAAACTCTAGAGGACTAGACACCCTTTTCTGACTTCCATGGGCATACACACACAGAGAAGAGAGAGAGAGAGAGAGAGAGAGAGAGAGAGAGAGAGAGAGAGAGAGAGAGGGACAGGAACAGACAGAGTGTTAAATATAAAACAAAAAATTATAAAAAAAAATACCAAAAGACCAAAACAAAACTTCCTGCCTCCTCCAAAATACAGAGAACAGGTAAAGGAAGTCGTGGATAAAAGATGTTTTAGCCAGGCGGTGGTGGCGCACGTCTTTAATCCCAGCACTCGGGAGGCAGAGGCAGGCGGATCTCTGTGAGTTCGAGGCCAGCCTGGTCTACAAAGTGAGTTCCAGGAAAGGCGCAAAACTACACAGAGAAACCCTGTCTTGAAAACCAAAAAAAAAAAAAAGATGTTTTAGAGGGGAAACCATTTTAATTAATTTATTTTTATGTGCATTGGTGTTTTGCTTGCATGTATGTCTGTGTGAGATGTCAGATCTTGGAGTTACAGACAGTTGTGAGCTGCCATGTGGGTGCTGGGAATTGAACCCGGGTCCTCTGGAAGAGCAGTCAGTGCTCTTAACCACTGAGCCATTTCTTGAGCCCAGGAAACATTTTTAAACCTATTGTGAGATATATAGAAAAGTGCCCATTTCTACTCATTTGTATTGTAAAGCTATGACTATTTTTAAAAATATTTTAGTGTATGAGTGATTTCAGGCATGTCTGTACTCTGATGGCATGCCTGCTGCATTGAATCTCCTGGAAGTGAAGTTGTAAAAAGTTCTGAGCAGCCATGTGGGTGCCGGAACCAAACCCGGGTCCTCCACCAAAGCAGCCGAGGCTCTCAGCCCTGAGCTCTCTCTCCAGTCCAAAGCCATAACTATTCCAGACAGCCATTAGCCACCACAGTGGCATTAGACCAGCCACCTTCCCACTGCCTGTTGTACTGGTGACTTTTCTCATGGCTGTGATAAAGCAACTGGAGAAAGGATGTTTTGTTGTTTTGTTTTGTTTTAGTACAGTCCATCACAGCAGGGAAGGCATGGCGGCAGGAGCCTGAGGCGGCGGGTCACATGGCATCCACAGTCAGGAAGCAGAGAGAGATGGATGCTGCTGCTCAGTTTACTTTCTCCTTTTTATTCAGTCAGAGACCCCAGCCCATGGATTCTGGGGGATTGTTGAAGTCTACTAGGTTTCCTAGTGGCTGTACCCAGCAGGACTACATAAAAGTTGATTGGACCACGGGCCTGGGGACCAGGTGTTTGTAAGGGTCTAACTAGCAAGGAGCCTTTTGCTCCACCCCTTGGCATTGTTATAAATAGCCCTTTGGAATTTATTCTGGGCCGGTGGGTAAGGATCCAGGTCCACCCAGTCTATCCTGTGTTTTCTCTCTGTTTCTCTCCCCTCTACTTCTAAGTCTCTTATTCCTCATTCCTCAAGAGTCCCTGGGGTAAATAAATGTGGGGGCTGGTCTCCCACAGGGGATGTCTTTCTATATACTATGAATATATGTTATTCCCATTGGTTAATAAGTAAGCTGCTGGGGTTAGGGATTTAGCTCAGTGGCAGAGCACTTGCCTAGCAAGTGCAAGGTCCTGGGTTCGGTCCTCAGCTGGGGGCGGGGGG